TTACCAACTTTCCAGAAGGATCCGTCTGTCCCTTCCGGAAGACAGTACACCTGTTGTGCAGCGACCACTAGACCAGCTATACTTGTAGCTAGCCAAAGCATAAGATCCAAGCGCAGCACGTATGTGCATACATTATGCAGAATAGTCTTCTGGGTTCCAAATCCACCAATGTTGTTGTATTGCCAAGCGACCAGGCTTTGAAGGCTGACAAGCGGTACCGAGAGAAAAGACTGAATAAGAGTCAGCGAGACGATATAATAACCAAAGATTCAAGCCAAACATACTGCGACAAGTGCAAGTACAACACTCGGAGTCATTTTCGAGTCAACCTGGCCATTACCGTAAAGGTAGAGCACGAGCACGCATTCCAATATAGACTCGAGGAGTAGCAAGTATAGCGCAATAAATATCACAAGCTTCGTCCATGTTCCCTCCTTTCGTGGTGTAGGTGAAAATCCAGAAGCCATGATTGCGATATCTCGAGGATCAAGAGATGAAAGACTGTCTGTCGCCCTCTTAAACTGCCTGCTCGGAAGCCGGGTAGGTAAGAATGTGAGTGTGTAGTAGGTAACGGACAGGCGTGTTGAATGCCCCGTGTACAAATCGAACCCAGTTGTAGTCGCACTCGAAGTTCATCGATTGGACGCAAATGATAGCATATACATAAGGTTGGTACCAAGAGGAGTGTTGAAGGGCTAAAGAGTACTTTAATGAAGGGTTCTTAGCCCTGGAGCGCGTCGACGCGAATATAGCGTGGATGGGTGGAATGTAGCAGGGGCGTGCGTCGAAAGAATCCAAGGCATTGAGGATGACCCTCTCTTTAGAGGGTAGTCCATCTTAGCTTGATAGCTTGGAATGCTGAGGACTTGCTAGTGCCAGGGATGTATTGAGGGTTTGACTGTTATTAGCCTCATCCCTGTGGATTTGTCTGTACAGATGTCAGTTCGTTTCAGTCCCTGAGAATGGAAGATCTGAAGTAATTTTGATCTTCTGAGAATTCATTGTAATGATTTCTCCGTGCATCAAAGGGTTGTCCTTGGAGGTGAAAGTAGGATGAAGTCGATCGTGCCCTGGATCCCTCGATGACGTGGTCAACAACTCCGACCACCAACAATTGCAACAAGTTATTTGAATACTGGAATCAAGCTTGCACCTTTACAAAAGAATATCTCTTTCCTATTTTCAATTCTGTGATAAACGGTTATCGCTTCGTGTGCTTCCAAGGTTCCGAATCTGTACATATCACGTGATCAGAGGGGTTGACCTTGTCAGTAAGGACCAGAAGAACCTGGATTCATGGACAATCTGACGGATTTAACAGGCACCTGAATGAAGTGTTTCTGATGGTTTCACGTTGTGGAATGCGCTTCTCATCTGACCGTAAACTGCTCATATTAGCCATAACCCCAAGACGCGACGTTTTGTGTTTATACACAAATGACCGAAAGGCATCCGTCATAGTTATATATTCCCCAATCAAGCCTTGGACAGAGATGGTCTTTATAGAGAGTTCGGAGTGGAAGGCCTTATTTGCTCAGAAGTTTATGAACTGTAGTTAGTATGATGAACTCAGTCGTTATATATAACAGCACCAAACGTTTACCGAGGTATCCACGAGTCAGTCAAACATCAAATGCTATACACAAGAGGACCAAAGACATAACTGACCTATCACTGACTGGTTTTAGATTATTTAGGGTCATATCCCGGAAAATGGGGTCAGGAGAGAGGACTTTTCTACATGTAGGAACTATGTGGTCTGGATCATGCGGTCTTGCCTGATATTCTCCTCAGGTAGCCCCAAAGCTCAGTGTGCTAGAACTATTGGAAGGCACGAGTTATTACTGGTCTGCCTGAGGAAGGAACAATAGCCAAAGTGAGTATAAATGGAAAGGTCAACCCAGACATCATAACCCCCAACCCCCATGGCTCAGTGCCCTGCTCTCTGATTTCTCATACACTGAGCGAGGCGCATCCTATGCCAATGAGGAAACTGTCCCTAGGCTAGCTGCTGTTGAAGAACGTTGAAGAACCTCTGGGGCCCTTTTTTTTTCTTTCCTCCTTGGGGATCATTTGAAGCTATTCACACTTCTGACCCCACACCATACCCCCACTGTACCCCCACCCCGATTTTTGTCTGATAAACACCGACTTATGCAATTTTGGAAAATCGCATGGATTGCAAAATCGCTATACTGGCAATCGGCTTCAGGCATTGTACGAAGTTGTATCTTACCAACCAGCTCTATACTAGACAGTTTTCCTAATTCACTCAATGCACATCATGCACCGTTTAATGAGGATTTGCTCGGTAAGCCCTTCCTCTCTTTGTCTCTTTAATTTCGAAAATTACAAGGGAAGAGTTGGTATGCATGTAAATGATCTGGAATAAAGGGAATATAGGAAATTATGACTGCCTAGGTGATTTTCCCATACACCTGCAGGGGGGCGAGGACACACCTCCCTTGAACGTTTTTATTCACCATTCCAAACAGTTCCTTCAACTCCATCCCTCTCCCCTTTTGCTTTTAAAAATAAAAACTTGCACATTATCATGGGTAGGTACCTATCAATGTGACAGATGTCCCGAGGTCTCATATTTATGACATCGTCAAGTACTTATCTTGATCCCATCAACCATAGCATGAAGTTCATCCAAACCTGGGCGTCCCTCGGGCCTATTCCGGGTGCAAGCCTCCACAACGACAGCTAGAGGGGCGGGGACATGCCATTCCACCGCGTTCGTGAACGGGACGTTTCCGTATATCATGCCTTTGATGAGATAACCGAGGTCGTAGATATCCGACTTCTCAGTCCAGCCAGAATCTAACACCGGCTCGCGAGAAACCTCGGGTGCTAGACGATTTCCCCAACGACTCTCGAGATCACAAATAAGCACGCGAGACATGTCAGAGGAGAAGATGATGTTATCGATGCGGAGATCACGGTGGATGATCCCAAGTGAGTGGAGCATCCTTAGCCCGGAGATAATCTGCAGAATCCAGTCTTTGTAGGTGGCGAGAGGATAAATATCCACCAAGATGTAGCGAGGCTTAAATTTCTCAAAAACCAGCTTGCCATCTGGCGACCTCCCCAGTAACTGGATGATGTGGGGTGATTTCGGCACTCCTGGACAGGATCCACCTTGGCATTTGAGTAGATTCTTAATCTCACTCTTATATTTGCCTTCCTTGACAAAGTGCTTGTTGGAATCGACTTCAACTATTGGCAGCGAGGCAAGAATTGTGTCTAGTTCCTCGGAGTCATCGTCGTGCTCTGGGAGTGGTGGTACATTCTTGAGGGGACGTATTTGGTCACCGATGATTTCATAGTCGCCATTGTCAACTGAAACGGGCAAGTTTCGGTCTAGGCGGAGGATATCGCCAGAGATGGTGCCAGGTATATCACCTAGCCGGATGCACTGGCCCTCATACCAATACGTGTAGCAGAACACACCATCAACAGTTTCCAAACTGAGGTCGATTATCTGTCGGTCACCACCGAAGCCCAGGTTAGACCGGTCTCTTTTCTCCTCGTAATCAGCTCTCAGCCGCTGAATTTCTTGAATGAGAATATCGGGTGATTGGCTCATCGTTGCTAGGTTGTGCTTTTTGCTCAATAGGAAATATTCGTGGTAGCAACGGATTTTTAGCTGAAATTGAAAGGCAGAGTTGCAGGTTAGCAGGTTATGTACAAAGAGAAAATATATCAGAAATCGCGGGGTAAGTACACAGACTGCCTTTAATGGAAAAGCGGTGATAGTGTCCCGAGGTCTTGGCGAGTTGGTTTAGAAAGTTACTGCACATATTATGAAAGGTGGTCTGCAGTAGTAGTCATATAATCATTTTTAAATTTTGTCTATTGATTCCAATAAATGCAGAGCCAGTTTACAGCACAGCAATGCACTCAATCTCAACATCAGTGTTGAGGGGGAGCGTCTTGACCGCAACACACCTGTAAAGTATATACGTTAGCAACAAATCAAACCATAAAACATGCAGAGTCGCACAAATGTATGCGCAAGCGCAAGAATCACATATAGTACAAAAATGGAGGGGCAAAACATGACTCCAAATGACTCTAACGCAAGGGATTAAGGAGCGGGGTAAGAACTCACGTCCGGCAGGGCTTCACATCACCCCAGTATTGCATGTACACGGAGTTCATTTCGGCGAAATCATCCATGTTGGATAGGAACACGTTGACCTTGACCACCTTGGTGATGTCGGTGCCGGCCTCTTCGAGGATGTGAGTCAGGTTCTTGATGCATTGGTGCTGTTGGAGAATGGAGGTGTTAGCGAATTGAACCAGGTCAATTGATATTGTTGGTATCCTACAGTGTGAGCCTTGATATCACCATCAATCAGCTTGCCAGTGACAGCGTCCATGGGGACAGCGCCGGAGCAGTAGACGACGCCATTGGCGACGATGGCCTGGGAGTAGATCCCGGGGAGGGGCTTGGGGGCCTTGTCGGTAAGGACGGCGGTCTTGGAGGACATTGTGAGAGTTTGTGAGAGGTGAAGGGAGTATGGGTTAGGGGTGAGTCAATTGAGAAAAGATGGAAAGAAGTAAAAGTTGCCCCCCCCTTGCGCGTGGGAGGTCCTTTTATCAACGGGGGGCAATATCCGGAGCTACAGCTACATCCCACGTTAGCCGAGATTAAAACGTAACAAGTGGCTCCGTGGTGGCCGATAAGACCGATCCGAGAAACATGAAGTGGCCCGTTATGGACGTTAAGAGGGGCGCAGTGGATACATGCAGGTTGCACTCGATACTAAATAAAAGAGCGGGCAGTTGTCCCTGAGATGGCACTGGCCCACCGCGATAGGCCGCTGATCTTTTCCCAAAGCGGAATGCAATCGGCTTATCAGCTTATCAACGTGTCCCCGCATTGTTCTCCCCACTCTGCGCGTGGGGGTGCACTTTCCAAGTCCCTATTTGAACACCTTAAGACACTGAATGCCGACGATCTTTCTGTTTTATTTTTCTAAACTGCAAAAATGACTGCCGGCATTACTGAACCACCTTACCCGCTCCACGAGTCTGTCAAAGACTTGTTGCACCCGGAGTATGTCGCATTCTATAACGAGCATGTCATCAATAACCAGCAAGTGCACCTTCGGCCCGTGGAAGCGTCACGGACAAGTGGTGTCTTGATTCCTGGTGCAGGTCCTATGCTGGAGGTTGGCAAGACTCAAGACATTACTGTTCAGCGGCGAGCTACCGAGGGCCCACCAGTGCCCATCCGCTGCTTTACTCCCAAGGGCCAGGCGCCTCCTGGTGGATGGCCGGTGATGTTGTATTTCCACGGTGGTGGCTGGGTGCTGGGTAACATCGACACGGAAAATGTGGTGTGTTCGAATCTCTGTGTACGAGGCAACTGCGTCGTGATTACAGTGGACTACCGGTGAGCTACCTAATCACGCCATGCATACATAACCTTGAGAAATTTGGGCCTAATTTATATTCTTTTTTCCTAGTCTTGCACCCGAAAACCGTTGGCCGGCCGCAGTCCATGACTGTTGGGAAGTCTTCCTCTGGTTGATTGCCGACGGCCCCGCCGCACTCCCAGTGGACGTATCCAAACTCGCAACCGGCGGCTCCTCCGCGGGCGGAAACCTTGCCGCGATTATCACGCACAAGGCACTGACTCTGTCACCGCCTGTTCACTTCCTCGCTCAGCTGCTCTCGGTCCCCGTGACAGACAACACTGCCACAGTAGAGAACAACGAGTCATATCGTCGATACGAATGGACCCCCGCACTCCCCGCGCTTAAGATGTACTGGTACCGTGACCACTATGTCCCCAACGACGCGGACCGCACCCACCCAGAGTCGAGCCCACTGTTTTGGGATGGCGATTATTCGCAATTGCCGCCTGCGTTAGTTATGGTTGGCGAGCTGGATGTGCTGCGCTCGGAGGGCGAGCAGTATGCGGAGAAGTTGCAGAAGGCCGGTGTGCCTGTCGACTTGCAGGTCATGCCGGGTATGCCTCATCCGTTCTTGGCTATGGATGGGGCTTTGTCTGAGGGCAAGAGGTGTATCACTCTGATGTGTGATGCGCTCCAAAAGGCCTTCTGGGGCCGATAGAATGTTTTAATATAGATGTCCTACTGAATATATTCGAGATTAGCATTTTGAGGGTAAAAGAAAAGAAGCAAGAGAGCGACATGTATGTTTCTATGTACGGTTGCCTCGGGCACCAATTACGTCCTGAGGTTCTCATTTTGTTTGTCTTCTTTGTATTTAATTCTGACTCTTTCCTTCGATCACTTTCTTCATTCCCTTGTCCCCTCCTTGCTTTATATATCTCTGGAGAGTTATTCCTCATCGTTATTTCTCATCTCCCTCATCCTATTCACTTATAAGCGCATACCCTGGCTGATGTCAAATGCAATTCTTTTATTTCTTCTTTCTTTCTATAATTAATACGATATATTGGATGGCACTTGATAGATCTTTGCAAGCATCAGCACCTGCAAAAAGGTTATCGTCGAGAGCTAGCTCATCATTGACGCTTTCAACGCTTTCAACGCTCTCAACGTGAGCTTACCATCGCCTCAAGTCCTTATTACGTGCAAAGTTCACCAACGTACTATTTATCTCTGCGCAATATCTCCTTCCGACCTCTACCATCTACGCTGTCGTTCATCTTCCATTAACCCTCCACTCCATCCTTTTGTCGGCTCGACTACCAGTCATTATTTATACTATCATCATTGAAATCTGGGAAGAAGATTACAAAATCCATTTGAGCAAAGACGGTTCGCTAGGTTCCCACGCAGTCGATGATCGGGGTTCGACTGGTCACAGCGCTCAACAACTCGCAGATGGAACAGCTCCTTCTACGCCTCATGTATGATTTCTTTCTCATCGGAGGAGATTCGTTGTCGTATATTTAAACTCCCAACTATCTTCATTCTTCATATGTTCTTGCCCATATATACGATCACGATTTTGTCAATGTCTCCAACATGGATGTCCTGCGGCAACAAACCTACGGCTCGACACAAAACACCACTCCTAGAGAGTTTGCTCCAACAGATGAGCTGCATCAACGAACAAGAATCATCGAATTTATAGTGGGGCTGTGTTGGATGCGTGGTCATGTGCCCAGCATATGACCCCGACAATACCCTCGTATTGCCCTCTCCATCTTCCTTCAGAACTCTTCTTCATATCTCCAAGGGATTTGGCGGTCCTGCGAAAATATATCGATGCAAACGTCAAAGCAGCATTCTCCACGCGCGCGATCATGTGCAACAGGAACTTGGTGCGTATGCGCCGAGCTCTTGTTGGTTCCTGCTGAATTCCGTGCTAGTCGTCACACTATCGACGGCTGTGGAGCACCTGGAAGGTGGAGAATGAATATTCAAATACGATGACGAGAACCGTATCGCTGGAGTTGCTATACCTAAGATACCTAGGCTGAAGCCTTGGGTGATATCAATGGACTGCACATACAAAACCAATCGCTATGATTCACAGCTTTATTGCTATTGTCGGCTTTGCTGCTACTGGATCAAGCTTTGTCTTGGATTTGCCTTCATCAAGGATGATAAGGATCTGCGAAATGATTCTGAATTGTCAGCTGAAGCTATGAATCTCTGAATCTCGAAGATTCCTGTGCAATTATTACCGTTAAAGAACAAACAACAATGGCTGCTTCTCGATGGCCTTTTTGGGTAAATACATTGTGATATGGACACATGTTGACGCATAGAATTAAACCCATGTACTGTCGATTCTATTGTTCTTTCTATGGCATGCGAGTTGAAACTTTCATGCCCCGTAACTTCGAAATGGATGTCAAATAATTACCAGGAATGTCAAGGTTTGCTCAGAGACCCCCCCCCCTGCCTGAATTTCCAGTATCGCCTTCCATATTCGGCACGGCCATAGATTCTGCCATAGTTCCTGCCAACTTCTGGTTTATATAGTAAAGTAACATGCATTTTGATCAGGTGTATTGGATCATCCAATATTAATGACCGGAATTACAGGTATTGTAGAATATCGTCAATGACCTATATATACAAGAACATGCCTTCAATATGCATTACCATCACCACTCTCACCACTCTCACCACTCTCAATACCTCAAGTCGTTCAATCCTGATACCTATTGGCCTCGATAGGAATAGAGCAGCCAGCAGGTACACGTTGATTGACGTAATCTGCTACCCATGGACCCTCTCCTTTGCCGTCCCACCACTCAGGTCCTCCATGTGGTCCACAATTGTAGTGCAGTTTTCTGTCAGAGTCTCCAACACACTGCTGAACACCATGGTTAATAACATTGATCCCGTCCGGCGACGCTGCCAACTCGATTTGAGTTGGGCGCGTACACAATAGCTTCGCCACGATCTATAATAGTGGTGCCGCCTCCGCAGGCACAAGAATTGACTTCTTTCACGTTGACTGTGAAAGCCGTGACGGCCTGATAGAAAAGAACACAGATGTCTCCTCGTTCAGCGGAAACACCATTGCAGGTGAACGTGTTCGAGACCGAATAAGTCTGGGACTCGGAGACACTAAATCCAAAAGATTCAAACGGAGTGTTGACGCCCAGACTCAAGCTCCAGCCAAGAGTAGTTGAGTACCCAGTGCCCGTAGATGTAGATGCAGTGTCACAGGCAACAAGTGTTCCTCCTTTCTGGGTGATCACAAAATTCTGGTGCGGATTTCCACCTCCGACCTTGGTATAGCTGTAAGAAACTTGGCATCCCCCACAGACAATGTCGATTGAGTTTGTCTGGTTGACTGGGGTAACCATCAGCCCTGGCGTGGATCTCTCCCATGTCCATGAAACTTTCCGCCGTCACATCGATGACCTTGGGGAGCGAAAGCCCTACTGCAGATAGAGCCAGGAGCCCGCAGATTCTTAAAGGGAGATTCATGAGGAATTTGATGATGACCGAGAGAGAATGTGGTCATGTACACTGAAAAATCACAGAATTCGTTAGTCATATAAAACATATAGCAACATGTAGGTATGTAAGAGTAAATAATCACCTCAAGTTTGTCCTCAAAAGTAGTGTGGCAGTGGAGCAGGCAGAAGAGAGCAGTACTTAGAATTATAGTCGTGAGAGGGGGCAATCCTGTTTATATAGAAAGTCTAGACACCTCTCTTCCATATCGATCCTTCGGGGCAACTACATGGGCACATACACACACAAGGGTCTACGTTTACTAACTAAGGCAATGAAACCTAGCTAATACAGAGGGTATCGCACTACTGCCGGCTAACTTGTTAGATCCAGGATCATTTTCTAATGAGTCATGTAAAATGTCTTATCTGCTCTAAAGCGGGTCGACTGAAAGACGATACTACGAATATTGGGATAACATCATGTATTCATGTACGACTTACGAAATTTGCGGCGAATTTTAAGACCTAAATGGGTTGACTATTACGGAAAGACTTTGCACATTATCTTTACGCTAGTATTGCCCTGAGTGCCTTTTAATTAAATTTGATTGCGTCTAACTAGTACGTAGCGATTACATTAGACAGGCCAAAAAATGTTTTGGACTTCAACTTACCATCTCAGCTGGGTAAAGGCGGACTGGACTCTCTTAAGATGTTTGGATGTCCAGAGGCCTAACATGATTATTGCACAGAAGTAAATGATAGTCGGACTTAGTACTAGTCGGACTGTATCAACAAAGGTGCTATCGACGCGGTTCTTAGCCTAGACATAGTTTAGTATCATCGGATTCATGGCTTAGCGATATTCGAGACCAATTAGGGCTAGCGTAGCGCTAAGAGTACTAAGAGGCTCTCCCAAATCCCGGTTCATAGATTGAAAAAGCTCAGCCGCCCCGCACAAGGAGTTTCTAGTTGGCAATACATGGACCCCTCTTTCACTATGTAATGCAAGGCCGTGGAGATGCTACCATAATTCATATCCTGTATATCTAAAACTTATAAAAAGTGCTATATCTAAACTGACTGACCGTAGTAGTATTTTGCTCACTTGAAAGCGTTAATCGAGTTTAACATACTAAAGATCCATCACCGGAAAGTCACCGGAAACTGCTGTCTTAGGCCTAGCGTGATTCAAGCAATGGAGTGCCGCCGGTGCCGTGTGGACCTCCACGGCTTGGCCTCCAAGATGGCCAATGTCGCCCCGCAGCACGAGCCTCCTGTAAACCATATATCGCGCAGTCTACATGCGATACTACGTTAGAACCCTGCTTATCTTGATCCTGTTATTGAAAGGATCATGGGACCAAAAAGAAAGAAAAAACTAAGCAGGTGGTAGGCTGGCTAGTAGTACATCAGGTGTGCCCGATCAGGGACTTTTGTCAGACTAGGGTATGGCCTAGGGGTAACAAGCTACTATATTATTTCCCACAACTTTTCTTATCTATACCCTTGGACAACAAGACATCAAATCCCGCAATTGTGTGATCCACAGTGAGTAGGCTGCTTTCCTCCCCAGTTTTTCCAAGGCTTCCTTTTTAACCTCCGCCTTCTCGCTGCATTTTGAACTCATCTTCCATATCTTTGCGCTTTTTATTCCGTCCATTCTTTTCTAACCATGGTCGAGCATATGGTCATGGAGGGAGACACCTCATCTCCCCCCAAATACTCCAAGTCATCCTCGAACCGGACTTCGTTCTTTAACGCATACCTCTTCTGCTCCTCCATCTGCGCAATCGCCGGTCTCATTATCGGTGCAATCTCGCTCCACAAAGCGAGCGAGTTCAAAGCGTTTCAGTTCTCCCAATCTATCACGGACTTGGAGCGCACCTTTAACAGCACTGTCTACGCCATTACAAGCAATGGCATCGGTCCAGCGTGCGAAGATGCTCCCATAGAGCTGATCACAGGCCAAACTTCTATCCCAAGTCAATGTGTCACTGTCACTGCCAGCGATATGATGTATGTGACAAGGCTGGCCGTTAATTGTGTTGCTATTGTCTATGAAAGCGCAAACTGCACGGGAACTCAGGCAGAGCTCGGGGATTTTACTCCTCCATCTTGTATAGTTGCAGCTGGCTTAGGCATGTTGGGTGGGGATGGTGGTGATTTTTATGAGAGTTTCAAAGTGGTTTGCTCTTGAATATCGAATATCTGATCTCTGGGTCTCTGGAGAATATGCATATCATCAACCCCATTTCCAAATTGTGGCATGAGCACCGAACTTGTGCTAAAGTCGGATGTCGACAACTTTGGTCTGAGATGCATTAGGAAAACGGCGTTTTGGATGTAAATATGTATTCTTGCACCCACATTTTGGAAGGATACTAGCACACTTCATTTATTTCCTACCGTGGTCTCTACGACGAGGAGCATATCATTGAATCAAACGAGTTGTGCAATCTCCTTTGGGAATTATTTTATTTAAATAGAATATTATTACATGCCATTAGGTGAGTACGGGAAAATGAAGCTTCGAGATACCATATTTTTGTATGGAAGTGGCAAATTGATGAAGTCCGGGGTAAGGACTATGTTAGATTAAAGGTATTCGGCAAACCCAGCTATTGCTTGAATATGGCTTCGTTATCAATAGATTTCGCTGTAGTTCCTAGCAAATTAATGTCTCTTCATTAGATACGAGGAACTTTGTGATGCCCGAGGACACCTGTTGGCCGCGGCTCCGCGGCTAAGATAAGACGAAAGAGGAGAAAGTACCCTAACTCATCAATGAGGGGGAACAAGAAACTTAAAGAGGCCGTAAGTCCTCGAAAAGAGATAACTACTCAGAATCGTCAGAATCGTCATACTCGTCAGTAGTAGATCCCCATCATGGCCCCTGGAATCACCACAGAAGAGTCCACAGTCACAATCAGGCCCGCGAAGACTGATAATCCTATCTTGTATAATGATGTCAATCAACAAGAACTTCAAGCCAAAGCAGCAAAGTACCTCCTCAACTATGGAACAAAATTCAACAAAGACGTGATCTGTGGCAGTAGAGGGCTCTACGTGTACACAGCCTCCGGACACAAAGTGTTGGACTTCACATCCGGCCAAATGTCCTGCCTGCTCGGCCACGGGCACCCAGAAATCGTACAGACAATCACCGACCACGCTGCCTCCCTAGACCACCTATTCTCAGGCATGATATCACCTCCAGTGATCAGTCTAGGCGAACGTCTCTGCGACCTTCTCCCACCCGGCCTCGACAAAGCCTTCTTCCTCTCCACCGGCGGCGAGAGCAACGAAGCAGCGATAAAGATGGCTAAGGTATACACCGGAAAGTTCGAAATTGTCGGACTAGGCGGTAGCTGGCATGGCGTCACCGCGCAAGCACTGGGCACACAATACCACTTCGGTCGCAGAGGTCAAGGCCCCCTCATGCCGGGAATGCTGATGCTCCCACCGCCCAACGCATACCGCTCCATCTTTCGCAACGCCGACGGATCCTACGACTGGGAAGCCGAGATGGAGTACGGCTGGCGCATGGTCGATATGCAATCGTGCGGATCGCTGGCGGCTTGCATCGTGGAGTGTATCCAGTCATCAGCTGGCATGCACGTCCTACCACCGGGGTACCTCGCGGCTCTAAAGCGAGAGTGCGAGAAGCGTGGAATGCTCTTGATCGTCGACGAAGCGCAGACGGGAATCGGCCGGTGCGGCGATCTTGTTGCTATCAACCACGAAGATGTCGTCCCCGATATCCTCACCCTCAGCAAGACGCTAGGGAATGGCCTGCCGCTCAGCGCTGTCGTTACGAGTGCTGAGATCGAGCGCGTGTGCGTCGAGCGGGACTTCTGCTTCTACACGACCCATGTTAATGATCCACTACCTACTGCGGTGGGTGATAAAGTTCTTGAGATTGTGGTGCGTGATGGGCTGGTTGAACACTCTCGTGCTATGGGGAAGGTGCTCCATGAACGGCTAAATGCACTGAAGGAAAAGTACGGCTGTATCGGAGATGTCCGTGGGCGCGGACTTATGGCAGGGGTTGAGATTGTTGAGGACCGTGAGACCAAGACCCCTGCGCTGACTTTGGGTAAGGCGATCGGGGATCGGGCTTATGAGTTAGGCTTGTGGGCCAATCTCAGTAGCCATCCTAGCTTTGGGGGTGCCTTTCGCATCGCCCCGCCTATCACTATTACTGAAGACCAGCTGCTTAGAGGTTTGGAGATATTGGAAGAGGCATTTGCAACCACCCCTGGGACTATGCCTGCGTGATGAAGCGTAATTGCTGCAGCTTTACTTTTTTCATGATATTGCTTTTTTTTTTCTCCACTGAACCATCGTATTTCGAATCGAAGCTTTGCTACTACCTAAATGAGAAGAGATCTAAAAAAAAATATAAGAAAACTACTAAAAAGACATAGAGATGCTCTTTGTACTAACCTCATACTTATACAAAGTGCTATTTCCCATTTGGGCTTCGACCAATGCACTTTCGAGTACTTTTCGACTTCTACTTAAACTAGGAGCCTTTCTGTTTAAATCTCACCTTTTCACAACTTTTAACATGGATGGCAATGGTCCATGTCAACCGGAAGCACCCTTTGGGTGTCTTTACTGACGATCACTAGTTTTTCTTTTCTCAATTGGGCATCGAAGGGAGATGGTCTATTGTAGTCTATCAAATTAGTCGTGGTAGCTGGATGAACACCACCAAAATGCCGTACGTGCACATGCACTGGACCCTTACGGTCAAGTGATGAAAGAATTTATCTGTGAAGCAATCCGAGGTCAGAGCTATTATTAATTCGGCTTCATATCCATGGATCATATAACCGTGGAATAATGGATTCAGGGGTTAAATTTTTCTACGACCAATGTTACTACATACGGAGTGTGACTTTCCATATTTCTACTCAAAATCAATAGTCTCTTCAAAATGGATCGGACCAAGAAGCTGATCGTAAAATCGTCGAATTTTAGCGACGTGGCTAGTCACAGGGCCAGACTGAGATCGGATTAGCGGAAAGTAAATAAATTGCAGCTGACAAGCGTAACCCTAAGAACCTCCACTGTTTGAGATCATTCTGAATAAATGTTACTTGATCACTACCAATGGATAACATGCAATTTAGGATCAGATCGATCGGTCCCTGTTTCGTCATTGATGTTTCATCTCATGTCCATGGAAATCCAGACACCATGACGGGGCTTTGTTCTAAACTTCTGGATACACACCTTTATCGTGGCTGGCTAGTGGATGGATTATAATTGCGATCATCTAACTGCCAGCCTATGAGAATATGTTATGAGACCCACCGTCAATGTGTTATTTGTTGGTGGAGATAATCCTAGGCCGGTATTGGCTCTGGATCCGCGGTTGATGCATAGCAACCATATCTTCAGCCGTGCCATCACAGCACTGATGTGTTGTCGGTGATGCGACATTGGGTATTTGTTGATATCGGGTTGACCGTCATATCGAACAACAGCCACAAATTCGACCTCATCCAGGAACAAGCGATGATAAGCACGGAACCTGGACGGGTACCTCGAAAATAAAGTTGACTCATTGGAAAAGGCCATGTGGAGAAAGCGGAACCCAGATCTCATTTGTAGAACCCCAATATTGACCCGCCTGTCTAACGCGATTGAGGCTTCAGAATGTGCTTATCTGGGATGATCTTGCGCGTAAACTTGATAAACGGGAATTCCCAAGCTCATAACAAGATTTTCAAGGGTATTTCTCCACAGCCTTAACCCTGGTCACTCTGATCGGCATTTTATATATATGAGATACACCCTTCCACCCACTTTCGACAATCTGCGTCCACTCTTACAATGCGAACTGGTCTATCCGCTACTCAGATCGTAGGCGCCAGCCTATTCGCAAGCCACTTCGCGAGCGCATTATCACCGCGCACGGAAATCGACGATTCTTATGACTTTGTGATTGTGGGAGGAGGCCAAGCTGGACTCGTGTTGGGCGCTCGTCTTTCGGAGGATAAGAACCATACCGTACTCGTTCTTGAGTCGGGCGGGAATGGAGATGATTATCGGAAGCGCATAGGTGCGTTTAATTATGACCCCGCGGAGTTTGCGATTGCTAATGCTCGGACAGATACACCGGCATATGCTTATTTCGATTCATTATGGACGACTCCTTTGAATTGGGACTTTTACACTGTTGCGCAGACTAATGCAGACGACCGTGAGATTGAGTGGCCTCGTGGAAAGGTTCTTGGAGGTATGTACAATGTTCATATCCAGAACAACACACAACATAAAATTAACACAGATATAGGCAGCTCCGCCATCAATGGACTATACATGACCCGTCCGGGTGAAGACGAAATCAATGCTTGGAAAGACATGCTCGGTGATATGGACGGAGCCGATAACTGGTCGTGGGACTCATTCTACGCTGCTATGAAAAAAAGCGAGACTTTCTCTCCCCCGGTGGATGATGTAGTTCAAGAGGCTGGAATCGTCTGGAATGCATCAAATCATGGCACCGGCGGGCCGGTCCATACATCATACCCGGACTAGTATGCTGAATCCTGTTCTCTGGAATTGATCGATAAGGCTAACATTCCTAGCACATTCCCCGAAGTGGGCTACTGGTTAACGTCACTAGCGAACATGGGGATTGGTATTTCTGCCAATATGTACGGAGGTGAGAACCTGGGCGCGGACGTCTCAACCTCCTGCATCAACCCTTCGAATTGGACGCGGTCCTACAGTCGTTCTGGGTATCTCGATCCGCTTCCAGACCGGGACAACTACGATGTATTGGCGAATGCGCATGTGACTCGGCTTGTTTTCGACAATTCTACTTCTTCCGACAAAACAGCGAGTGCTGTTGAGTACACGACTGATGGTGGAGCAACGAAACTGAAGGTCAAGGTTAACAAGGAAGTCATCCTAGCGGGTGGTTCTGTCGGCAGCCCGGCTGTGTTACTATACAGTGGTGTCGGCCCGAAGGACGTCCTCTCTGCGGCTGGTGTTGACCTCGTATCTGAACTTCCTGGTGTCGGCCAACACCTCCAAGACCATTTTGTGAGTGCGCTTCCTATTCATAAGATGAGCATTGAACTGACCGGATTACAGAGTGCCACGGTGAAATGGAGCTCGAATATGGACACCGCAGGTTCCATCTTTTACGACGGCGGCAAAGATAGGGTGCGTCCTGTATGCTCGATCAAACAAGGCCAGATGCTAATTCGCGCAGAACAACCCCAAATTCCTCACATACATTGATTCTGCCGTTGCCTATGTGAATTCGACCGCTATGTACGGCAGTAAAGTCAACGAATATGACTCGAAATTCCTCGACTCAATCGACCAGTATTCACCGAACACTACTTACGACGACGGCGTGGTCACCGGCTACAAAGCAATCTGCAACACGACATCAAACATCTTCAAAGGCCCGACAGGTCAAATCGAGCTCCTTTTCATGAACAGCGATGGAAATGGTGATATCGGCATCACAGCTGCCCTCCAACACCCATTCAGCCACGGCCGTATCTACATCAACTCCTCAAACCCAATGGACTACCCTGTCATCGACCCGAACTATCTGGACAACCCAGCTGGTATGTACCCCATCTAACATGCAAACCAAGTCCCCAACACTAACAATACCCAGACACCGAGATCCTGCTCGCAGGTATCAAACTCGCCCGCCAAATAGGCGAAACCAGCCCAATGAGCGGAAGCCTCACAAACGAGACATCCCCAGGCTCAACCGTCCAGAGCGACGACGACTGGATAGCATGGCTACGCAAGGAAGCCGGCACAGAGTTCCACCCGTCCTCATCGTGCGCGATGCTGCCGGAGAAGCAGGGCGGTGTCGTCGACGCCAATCTGCGCGTGTACGGACTTGCTAATGTGCGCGTTGCGGACGCCAGCGTCATCCCCATTGCCTTGTCCACGCACCTGATGTCCTCGACATATGGTGTCGCTGAGCAGGCGAGCGATATCATTCGCGAATATTATAACTCCGTATCGGAGCCCGAGCCGGCTTTTAGTGGGGCTCATGCGACACCTTCTAGCAGTACCGTTGGCGCGAAGAAGAGTGGTAGCCCGAAGAGTAATGGTGGTGTCGCTGTTATTGGCGGCGCTGCTTTGGCGCCCGTATGGGCTGTTGTTCTTGTTTCTGTACATGCTGTTCTTGTCTACGGTCTATATATATAGGGTGGTGTTTGCATTTGGTGGTAATGGGTAATGATAATCCATGGTTGTTGGGACTGGCTTTGGCATTTATGAAGTTCAATGCCTGCGATGTGTTGATCTCGGGAAAGGGGAACTGAAGTATATATCTACCTCGTTAGACCCAATTACATAGTCTAAATCATCTCGCACATAGAAAGCTGACTAGTATGTAGAATACGATTCATGTATCATCGATGCACCGCTTCAAATCTTGGATTTCCCATTCACCGCCACAAATGCCCCATCTTTCCTAACCTCAAAATCCTTACCCTGCTTCCACCCGACCCACCCCCTAAGCGTGTCAACGCCCCCATCCCCAGGCAAAAGCCCGCCGCCCGACCACCCACCATTCTCCGCCGGAATCGGCGCGGCAGGCGTACTAACCAGATGCACCATAGGCCGCTGCTCATAGCCACCCTCCTCAAGCTCCGCCTGCTCCAAAACAGGCGTAGCACAAGCATCCGTACCATCAAAAACAGCCTCCCACTCCACGCGAGTCTTCTCCTTAAACCTCCTCGTAAAAATCTCCCTCAAAGCAGGCCACTGCATCCGATCCTCCCTCTCCGGAAGCTCCCCAATCTCAAACCCAAGCCCACGCACCAACGCCGCATAAAACTGCGGCTCCAAAGCCCCGACAGCAAAATACCGCCCGGCATCCTTAGTCTCGTACGTATCATAATAAGGACACCCACCATCGAGCAGGTTCTCGCCGCGCGGCTGCGCCCACGCGGGAGTCTTCCTCGCCAACCGCGGGAACGTAGCAAGGTACGCCGAGCCGTCGACCATATTCGCCTCGACGACCTGGCCACGGCCGGTATGCGAGCGGGAGATGAGCGCCAGCAGGATTCCCTGGAAACAGACTGCGCCGCCGCCGGCGAAGTCGCCGAGGATGTTGCCTGGGGCGTGGGGCTTCTCGCCTGCGCGGCCGAGCGTCGACAGCACGCCCGAGACGGCGATGTAGTTTATGTCGTGGCCGGCCATGTCTTTGTATTTTCCGTCGCGGCGGAAGCCGGTCATTCGCGCGACGATTAGGCGGGGGTTGTGTTTTTGGAGGACTTCTGTTGGGGAGAGGCCGAGGCGTTCGAGGACGCCTGGGCGGAAGGGGTCGATTAGGACATCGGCGGTTGGGAGGAGGCGGAGGAGGATGTTTAGGGAGCTTTGGTTGCGTAGGTCCAGGGTTATGGAGGTTTTGTTGCGGGTTAGTTGGTCGCGGGTTAATTGGTCAACGCTTGTTGAGTTGGGTCGGTCTATACGGAGGACTGAGGCGCCGTAGTCGGCTAGCAGGAGGCCTGCGAATGGGCCTGGGGTGGGATGTTAGTTGTGATGGTGATGTTTCTTGGACTGATTGTGTACCTGGAGCTAGGCCTGCTAGCTCGATGACTTTGATTCCTTTCAACGGTAGCATTTTATGTATTTTGAAGGAACAAATTGAAGTTCAAAAGTGAGGTTGCCATTTATTACTTCTCCGCAGCCGAGGTCCGTGGATGTCGGAATGCGGGGGAATTGTCACAGCTATTGGAGCTTCGACATGATGAATATTATTGAGATGGAAAGCTGTCATTAGAGGATTTAAACTGCCAGAAAATAATTGATAATATTCTTCACTGCATTATATGCAAATGGGTAGTATTTTTATACAAAGAGCATTGTTGTCCGTTGTAAATATGGAAACAGGAAGTAAAAATGAGATAAGTCAGGCTAGATGGCCACACTTTGAAAAAGGATATCATTAGGAAATTGAAACGGACTCGACCGCTCGCAAACTTCAATGCGAAGAACACGATAGTCTCACCGCTACTGGCCAGAGTAAATCACAAAAAGAGGCCAGGAGGTATCGAATCACTCCAGAGACTGGAGATCGGATGAACAAGAATATTATAAACATCGTAATGAACCAAAAGCAACCAGTCGCTAGAAAGTACCAGTTTGTCTTGAAATCAGCATTCGTGAGATCAATCATATCGCATGATGAGATCATGCTGTCCAGGCAAGTGGGCAGCTTTACAGCATCATGAACATGGAAAGAGCGATGGCGAGGACGCCACCGAACAAGCCGGTCATGTTGGAACGCGAGGCTGCACCGGTGTAGACCGGAGACACGCCCTCTTGGTTGGTGGGCAATGAGGGTGTGTTCGTGGCGGTGGTCGCGACAGTGGGCACGGCAGTGCGCGCGGGCGAGGGGCGGAAGGCTATGCTCGACGACGGCTTGCCGACGTGGAAGCCTCCGGCTCCATGGCTGGGGATGGGCTTGGAGGAAGAAGATGGCGCCACAGGGGCGATACCGGGCACTGTAACCTCACCAGTAGAGCCAGAGCCGGGGTTGGACCCGGAGCCCGAGCCCTCACCGTTTCCAGAAGAGCCGGAACCGGAGCCAGATCCAGAGGAACCAGAGCCAGAGCCAGAGCCAGAGCCAGAGCCAGAGCCAGAGCCAGAGCCAGAGCCAGAGCCAGAGCCAGAGCCAGAGCCAGAGCCAGGAACAATGTTAGTAGCAGTTGCAGTGGCAGTAGAAGCCGGGATGGTGATGGTGACAGTGCTACCAGTAGGACCACAGTGCTTGCAGAAAGTCACGGTGGTAGTGTATCCCTCAGGTGCCGAAGGGGCGGTGGGCTGCGACACAACCTCAGTGGTAGTAGTAGCAGCGGGCTTAGTAAGGGTAACGGTAGTCGGGGTAGCGGCACACTGGGTGCAAACAGTCACAGTAGTGGTCCAGCCTTCGGGAATGTAAGGAGTGGAAGTGGCAGGGCCAGAAGTAGGAGCAGTGATCTCTGCGGTGCCAGTTGGGGTAGCAGTAGCGGAGGCATCACCAGGACAGTAGGTTTTGGTAATAGTGGTGGTGATGGTAGTGAATCCAGTTGGGCAAATATCAACGTACGAGGTCACGATGATAGTTGTGGTGGTACCGGGAGCCAAGGAGGAAGGCGAGGCAGTCACAGAGGCAGTGGCGGTGATACCGGCCGGGGCTGTGGTTGAGTCAGTACCGGTAGGCTTGGAACCTCCAGTAAAGTTGTTGCCGGTAGGCTTGGAACCTCCGGTAGTCTCGACGCCAGTAGAGCTAGAACCACCGGTAGTGTTGTCACCGGTAGGCTTGGAACCGCCAGAAGTCTCGACGCTGGTAGGCTTGGAACCTCCGGTAGTCTCGACGCCAGTAGAGCTAGAACCACCGGTAGTGTTGTCACCGGTAGGCTTGGAACCGCCAGAAGTCTCGACGCTGGTAGGCTTGGAACCTCCGGTAGTCTCGACGCCAGTAGAGCTAGAACCACCGGTAGTGTTGTCACCGGTAGGCTTGGAAGCACCGGTAGTCTTGATGCTGGTAGGCTTGGAACTGCCAGTAGTCTCGACACCAGTAGGGTTGGAACCACCGGTAGTGTTGTCACCGGTAGGCTTGGAAGCACCGGTAGTCTTGATGCTGGTAGGCTTGGAACTGCCAGTAGTCTCGACACCAGTAGGGTTGGAACCACCGGTAGTGTTGTCACCGGTAGGCTTGGAAGCACCGGTAGTCTTGATGCTGGTAGGCTTGGAACTGCCAGTAGTCTCGACACCAGTAGGGTTGGAACCACCGGTAGTGTTGTCACCTGTAGGCTTGGAGCTTCCAGTGGTCTCGTCGCTGGTAGATGATACACCGGTCGGGATGACACCTTCGCTAGTGGAAGAGGCGCCAGACTCGGTCGCAGAAGAGATGGGAGCGGTGCTTGAAGGGTGTCCCGGGATCAGGGGAGTGGAGCTTGGGACAGTGTGGGGATGGGGGTGGGTGTGGGTGTGGTGGCCATGTCCATGTCCATGGCCATGGCCAGCATGCGAGCTGTGGGGCTTTCCGGTGGCGGAGGAGTGGGGGGCGGGATGTCCGGATGAAGCAGGAGTAGTCGTCACAGAGCTGCTAGGGAGGCTCGAAGTGGAGGAAGACTGCTCGGAGGCAGCAGGGGTGGTGGAAGGCACCGAGCTGGAAGAAGCGACTGAGCTAGAAGAAGCGACCGAGCTGGAAGAAGCGGCTGGGCTGGAAGACACAACTGAGCTGGAAGAAGCAACTGGGCTGGAAGCAACTGAAGTGGCCGAAGGGGTAGCGGAGCTAGAAGACGCAACTGAGCTGGAAGACGCAACTGAGCTGGAAGAAGCGACCGAGCTGGAAGAAGCGACCGAGCTGGAAGAAGCGACCGAGCTGGAAGCAACTGAAGTGGCCGAAGGGGTAGCGGAGCTAGAAGACGCAACTGAGCTGGAAGAAGCGACCGAGCTAGAAGACGCAACTGAGCTGGAAGAAGCGACCGAGCTGGAAGAAGCGACCGAGCTGGAAGAAGCGACCGAGCTGGAAGCAACTGAAGTGGCCGAAGGGGTAGCGGAGCTAGAAGACGCAACTGAGCTGGAAGAAGCGACCGAGCTGGAAGAAGCGACCGAGCTGGAAGAAGCAACCGAGCTGGAAGACGCAACCGAGCTAGAAGAAGCGACTGAGCTAGAAGCAACTGAAGTGGCCGAAGGGGTAGCGGAGCTAGAAGACGCAACTGAGCTAGAAGAGGCAATCGAGCTGGAAGACGCAACCGAGCTAGAAGAGGCCGCAGAGGTGGAAGCAACCGAGGTGACCGAAGGCGGGACAGTGGACGACGAAACAGGAGTCACAGTTGATGAGGGGATCGGGGTGACAGTCGAAGTCGGGGGAGGAGGAGGAGGAGCGCAACCGTACAGGATATCCTTAATGTGCTCAGTGAATGTTGTTCCGTTGATGAGATTATTCTCACCAGCGGTGGCCTCCCACAGCATGATACCACCGAAGTGATCGGGGTGCTTGTCCATGTAAGTTTCGACAAGGGGCTGCACCTCGTCAGGGGTCAAGTAAAATCCAGCATTAGCAACATCATCCGATGCGGGCAGTCCGATGAAGAGCTTAGCATTGGGGTTGACGCTCTTCTCAATGACACCGACCCAGTCATCGAAGTTGAACTTGCCGGTCTTGTGGACCCAATCCGCAGCAGAGCAACCCTGGGTGTTGTACCACTGAACCCAGATGAAATCAAAGTACGAGTTGGTAATAGCATCGCCGAGCTGAGGGTCGGGAATGGGGCACTGGGGAGCTCCGGAGATGTAGTAGGTCTGTTCGCTCGTTTCGAAATGCGAGCGTAGACGATTAATCAGCGTGGCGTATCCTATATGAGTGTTAGAGAAAGTATAGTCAGAAGGTAGAGGGTCAGGGAAACATACCAACTCCGCCGTTGTACTCGATATCAAAGTCAAATCCATCAACCGAGGAAGTGAGAAATGGGCGAGGGAAGATGCCAACCAAGTCCTCAGTCCAACCCAATGAAGAGATGGATGGATTGTAAGGACCGAATGAATACCACAGGAAATCCGCAAACCAGGTCGCGGTGGCCTCATCCGGAAGAGACTGGGCTGTAGCAGTACCACCACCGATAGACAACAGGATTGTCTTGCCAGCAGCTTTGCAAATAGGGATATCTTGCCAGATCTGGTGGCAGCCATTAAGCAGCTCTGTACCGGGGAAAAAGTTGCCATCACACTGATTGGCAAAATTGGAACCAGGGAAGTCACCCACAAATTTGGGGAACTGATCGATAAAGCCAATGTTGATAATGTCCGACGTGGTCTGTTCACAGAAATGTGAGAGCCGGGGTTGGTTGTAACCTTGTCCATAGTAGATAGCAACATTATTCTTCAGACTGGCATCGAGAGCAAGAGCAGTCGATGCAAAGAGTGACAAGGCCGACACGGCGGCAAAAGACTTGAACATCATGGCTAAAATGAATGTAATGATTATATGCAACGGAAATCGCTTAATAACCCGAAAATGAATGGCAGGTTAGCTCGCGGACAACGAGAGGACGCAGACAAAAATCTGCTTGGGAAGTATCCCAAAGAGCTCGAAATGAGAGTGTTGACGGTCGAAAGAGAATGTCCGCTGGGGAAAAGAAACTGAAATATAACCAGCGCCTGGGGACTGTCCATGTCCGCCCCCTGGGGAAGATGCCGACCTCCGACATTGAGCGCACTAATCAGAAAAGAGAACAGAGCTACCAAAACGTGGAAATGAGCAAGTGCGTGATATCCGGATGATTCCACGATTCATAGGTCAGTGCCACACCGGAGGCACCCCACCGGCGCAGGGTCACCCAACACAGACTCGTCGAGTGGAAACAATGCTTGATAGTCTGAACACTTGACCCAGAGGCTAACAGGATCCGCAGAATGCATGCCAACTTGACGTGAAAGCGGCATGGACCGGCTGGTCACAAGCCAAACCCGTGGCATAACATGGCCACATAGCCAGTGGCGTAAAAGAGTCGCATTCCAAACCAAAAACTAGATCAGCCGTCAGCCATGGTAGGCCCTTTTTGGAGAGGGGTATGTGCAAACCCTATGCGTATTCGGGGTTATTCCGGCGAAATGAAATTGCAAGAGCCGCATGAAAGAGGCTAAAAGACCCTAACGGACTCTAGCGCCACTAGCATGAGGGTCATGACTGGTGCCAAGACTGTTGGTTTGGTGTATAAAATCCAATCACATCTCGTAGTTTAGGCACCAGGGCACGGACGCCTCGGGGTCCACTGGCGATTGTATGTAGTGGGATGCAGGGCACTACCCGAAAGTCGGACCACATGGAGATGCAGGAAGGCGGGAAAGTGGAGGTAAGAAGATCCGTTTACATTCGTTTGACAAGCGAGTGTTTGCATCTTTCGAAGAGTAAGAGCGTAAGTGAGTATAAGAGAGTAAAACCAGATGGCGTGAGGTCAAATCATCTCGTAACTTTCCCAAAACCAAGGAAGGCTATCAGAACCGACGGAGTTAAAAGTTAATTACCCTGCGCTAAACCCTTGGGGGCCAGAATGTGGAGCCACCTCCTTATCAGGCACGCCAATCATATGCGTCGATCCGGGAAGAAGCCGGATCACCGTTTATTCGGTTGCAGCATTTAAGATTGCTGTCTCACTTCTTCTCTTAGTTCCTCTTAGTTCTGTTAGTTTGTCGCCCTAACGAACTCAAGTTGTGATGTAACTCTGGCCAGGGTACGAAACACTAGTACTTACACGTTCCAGCCTACGGCCCCCAAAACTCCCACGTTACATTTGACTTTTCTTTCCCTTTTATTTCCCTGTTTATGCAAGGTACCCATTTGCTTCGGAGATATGCCCGCTCTAAGACGATGTGTTAGGCGACAACAACGCCACTCATCTGTCTGATTGCTCACAAAGCACTAGCCAATCTTAAAAATGCGCACTTCGTATTTTGCAACCGCCACCGCCCGAGGTATCATTGGACAGGCAACATTTACCACCGAAAAGGGTTAAATCTCTTGTTTTTCGGGAGGTTCGTGCCCGACATGAGTTCCTCGATCTTATGTGTCTCTTCTCCTCATAACCTTGTGGGACCGGGCGGGTTGTAAGGGTCACCCCGACTTGTGGATCAAGCAATGAAGCTGACTTGCGAGAAAATTGCGGCACATTTCCTTAACCGCACTTAAGCATCATTCAAATATAAGCTTGTTTGCAAATAGGAAGCCATAAGAATCGGATCGAAAGCACACAACGCTCTTACATTATTCTTCTATCCGAGAAGAATATGTCAATATCTCCGTCCAAGATGAACCCATACAGCAATCTAAAATCCACTTTATTATTCGCTATATCTGCCTGATATCAAACGGCAGTACATCGCTATTAATTGTTTTGCTGAGCGAAGCGAGGCAAACTATTAGAGTCGTCCAGGCAAGGGAATACTACTCCCATGTGATTCCATGCTAGTATATTTTGCCAAGTATTTCCTATTCTGGCTGCACAAAAGTGGGATTTGTACATAAACTTATGTAGGTCACTTTTTTTCTATATGTTCACGCTATTTCCAGTCCCATGCGAGTAATGATGGGAGTTGGGCATGGTCTAGACTCTACTCAAATCTGCTGCACGATTTTGCAGAGCCTCTCTGTAAAAGGAATTGCCAACTGGCCCTGCGGCCTCGATAAAGCCTATTCCCTTTCGAGATCGGATGTATCGGTCTACATTTGCTTCATAGGCAGCCATCTGTTTAACTCCAGCTTTGTTAGATCAAAAGGCAGAGGCTCACATTTGTCGTCTAGAGATGAATATTCAATTTCCAGCAGTAATTTCCGGTTGTCCCGTCATTCGATATATATTGCTTTAGTTTCTACGCTAGGTTCAAATTGATAAGCCTGGGATAAGCCAAAGCAGCAACAGCAACAGTAACAATTCCATCGATTTCTCTTTTTATGTTAAATCGATATGAAGGACTACAGTGTGTAAGGACCAGAAGCAAAGGAGTTGTATTGGAACTATCTGACCCCACATAAGAGTGCCTGGGGCCACAAAACAAACCCTCTCCTTTTTTTCCCGCGAGGTAAAAGACCCCAGACCACCAAGCGCTGGTGCGATATGCAGGCCACCAGAAGCTCCGTGAATTTATCTGCCCTCCTAGTGGCCGTGGAATGAATGCCCATGCTTCTTGTGGGCTTCGATATGTCTTTTTCCATGCAGATTCGCAGCGATCTAGGATACCGAAGAAAGGACCATTAGTCAGTGCTGATACTGTTGTGTTTATGTACGGCAACAGGGACTTTCCATTCCCCGCTTGTTTTTTTCTAAGGATATATTTGCACGGAGCCACTTACGGGTGTAGCAGAAGCAATGCTTGAAACAACAACAGACGAACGAGGACTGTCTTTCGCGCACCCCCCAAAGACAAAGTGCGGGCTCGAAGCAGTGGCCACGGCGGAATTGCGGAACAGGTCACACCGGCCACCGGTGTTGAAAAGCCAGGATTCGCAGCCGTTGAGAGTCTCGCATTTTGACGCACAGGCTACAGAATCGGTGACATTGGTATCGAAAGTGAGTGGGGCGCTACTGAAAAAGGCGATTGTGTCTTGAGCGACTGAATCGCGACAAGCGGCGTTGACAGTGACCGCTGTACTTGCTAGGAGGAGCAGCAACGAAGGAATCTGGAAGTGCATTCTGCTGTTTTTATTTCCTGTTCAACCAGGACAGAGGACAACCTTTGGTAATATACAAAATATGAACAAGCTGGTTAGATAGAGGCAGAAGAGAAAAATTTCCGATCTAAATAAGTACGGTGGAAGCGAATAAAATTAAATAAAGCGTTACTTTTCATGGCGTTCTCTAACTAGTTTATCTTTCGTTATACTAACTAGTAGAAATTACGGCACTAGACGCTAGGTACGAAGGGGCATAGTGCGAAGGGTCATTTCCACCATATTGAGGCCTTAATGCTTGGAATTTGGCTGAATCTACGCCTATGATTGGTTCATTGAGGTCTTGCCTAAGATTAACCCCCCTTCCTAACTATCGTCTTGATTATTTTCGTGGCCTAGGGTATGCCCCTGCGTGCCTAGACACTCTCATCCGATCTGACCGCAATTAGATGATGAAATCCCAGGGAGATGAAAGTTGTTATATGCCAGATTCTTTCTAATAGAAGATATGCATTTTCTAACGAAATAATAAGTATAGAGAGGAAAGGAAAGGAAACAGGACGCAGAGCCATAGTAATAGTAATTAAGTCACCCATGGCGGCTGGAGGCCTCCGTAATTACGATACGGACCGTAAGCAAGTCAAGGAATCGACTCGAAACCATCTGGTAAATCCTCGCCCATAATCCAGCTCATCACCATATTCGCAAAGAGCTGTGGTTCATCCGCGTTCCACGGATGACGCATGCCCCGGTGCTGCACCAGCCTACTCCCGTTATCCATCACCGTCTCGAACAGCCGGCGAGAATGGCTAACATTGTCGGCGCTAATTCCTCTCGTTGCGGCCACCACTAATGACCGGGCTGTGATGGGCTCTAAATCTCGTGACGAAAACAGTATATTAAATATATCGCACGTTGTAGATAAGTACCCTCGCCCCCTTTGCGCAGCGTAGACTAGGTATGGCAATATAGGCGAGACAAGGTTTGACGCAAAGAGGTTGAAGCCGGAAACGATCAAGGTTTGGACACGCTCAGGATACTGCGCGGCCATAGCAGCGGCGACATGTGCGCCAATGCTGATGGCGACTACATGAGCTATTAGCTTCTGCGCTTTAGCTTCGATCAGACTTGCAAGACGGCGAGTGGCGTCGTTGATTTCCAGAGGTTTAATCTCAAGCGATCGCCCGTGGGCAGGGTGGTCGGGAATTAGCACGTGGTGGGCGACGAGAAGCGGCCATACAGCGTCCCACTCCTGGCCATCGGAGAATCCGCCATGAATAGGAGAATCGTTGATTTGTTGGAAGATGAGTTGTGCGATGTATGTGGAATAAGTGTTTCTGACATTTTGGTGTAACGGAAAGCGCCAAGCTAGTGTCCGTTGAGCTGGTCGTGGCCGACTGCGAAGCGGGGACGGGAGGAAGGTCAGATAACCCCGCGTTAACGGTTAACAAGCGAGCTGCGTGATTAGGCCAAGCTTGCTGGAGGCACAGAACCGTACATAGCCCTGGTTCTTATCCGTCTGTGTTCTGGCGTTTGCTGCATGTTCTCTGCTAGCGCTTACTACAAATGCAAGTCGAGACTCACAGCCCTGGTCCTTGCTTAACAGCCACAGGGTCTAAGACTCTCCTAATCCGCCTGGTCTGCCTTGAGGCATTCGAGCCTTGGATTGCGACGGTTTACGAATATATTATTTGAGAACGCCTGGATTCACTATTCGGCTAGCCAAAGTGACGTGGCAGGTGCCTCCAAGAACAAAAATCGAACCATGGCACAAGACTCTTCAAAACACATTATCGTCGTCGGGGATGCTCCCGTACACTTGTTCCTATACCCGTTCGCCGATTCGACTCGGAAGTCTGATGTGCACAATGCATATTGGTTCCGGGTCGGCTCTAACCTTGTGGCCACCCTTTTGGAGGATGGCTTGGAGGGTGCCGAGCCCCGCATCTATATTCACAAGCCTAGTCTCGTGAGCCCTACTCAGGACACGATCCATTCTATCGTCAATCTCGAATGCAATGACTCTAAGGCTTCAAGCCCAGATTCTCGCGGGCAGCACCGTACAAGGTTCAAGCCCCGATCCATACAGGAGATCGTTACGGCGAGACGGTGGTACGCGCCATTGCATTTTTCTCTCTTGGGAATTGATCCCTCAGCGCTATCTATTGTCATCTTTCAAGAAACCAGAAGTGAAGCCGCTGCCGCTGAAATCGACACCGCCGCTGCAATTTCAACCTTCCAGGAATGCCGCCCTTGCTTCCTCGTTTACCACATGGCAAGACCCATGTGTGATGGCAGTATCTGGGAAACGGTCCGGCGAGGCCCACTGACAGGCTCGAAGCCTGGAACGCCAGACCGCGAGCGACTCATTGTGGTAGTCGACGCCAATGATCTGCGCGCCGAGGGGATCAACCTTTCGCGCGGTCTATCCTGGGAGAAAACCTGCGAGGATTTCGTCGAGCGGCTTGGCTCTGTAGGGAAGTTGGCGTGCCTGGCAACTTGTGCGCATCTAGTCGTGTTGTTTGGGTGCGCGGGTGTAATTTACCATCAGGGCTCGCGTGTCTCCAAGCCGGTTCTCTTGTTTGACCCGTTCTCATCCGAAGAAGAGTTCCTACAGGAAAATATAGGACGAATACCCGGTCTTTCGGAGACATTTGTAGCTGGTCTTGTGAGCGGGTTGATCCAGAGCCCGGAGTTGAGTGTCGAGCACGGAATTGAATTTGGCTTGCAGGCTGCGAGAAGGCTTGCTGTGGTTGGGCTAGCTGACCCTGGAAACGAGGTACCTTCATTGTCGACGGTCTATCGAGCCGGGGAGGTGATGGGAGAGACAATGACTAAAAGGGACAAATTGATTCGTTTCGCGATCCCATCGGACGATATTGCCTGTGGCAACTGCGGCGAGGATTGGTCTCTGCTCGATGACACGATCGGTGACGCTGCAGAAGTGGCACGTCAGGTTGTAAGGCAAGGGCCTCTTTCGCTAGCGAGCCAGGTGCCGCTGGCTCAATTCAATGAGCTCTTCCTCTTCGATCGGCACGAAATCGAGTCATGTCGGTCCATCTTCAGTCTCCTACGCGAGTATCTCGCCGCACCAATGAATCGGCCGCTCAGCATTGCGGTCTTCGGCCCCAGAGGGTCCGGCAAGGCCTTTACAGCGATGCAGCTCGCCGAAGCGGCAGCTCGGGGTAAGAAGGCGTCGACCCTCCGTTTCGACCTGTCGCAGTTCACAAGCGTCGACGATATGGTCGCGGCCTTCCACTCCATCCGCGACTGTTCTCTCAAAGGCTCTGTACCCCTGGTATATCTCAGGGGCTTCGATACCGACTTCGCCGGCTCGCCGCTGGGTTGGCTACCGCATCTGCTACATGTCATGTTATCTGGCTCCTTTCCCGACCACGGCATCAGCAGACCGATCGGCACCGCTGTTTTCTTTTTCGGCTCAGCCTCGTCCACAACATATGAAGCCCTCCGCCATGGATCTCCAACAACCTATAGATACCCAAATAATCGAATCCAAGACTTCCTTGCCTGTCTCCACGGCTTCGTCAACATCCTAGGCCCCGACAAAGTTACTCGCACAGCTAGCGGGAGCGAAGACAGACTCTACCCCGTCCGCCGCGCCGTCATCCTCCGATCGCTTCTCGAAACGCGTGAAGCAAACCTCACCTCCTCCATTCAAATCAACATCGACGAAAGCGTACTCAACGCCCTCCTTTTAGTTCCTACATATAGGCACGGAATTCGGTCCCTGAAATCCATCATCGCCATGAGCCATCTAAACGGACGCTACCACTTCGACCGTTCCGCTCTGCCCCCTCAAACGCAACTCGACCTACACGTGGACTACAAAATCTTCACCCAATACTTCAACGGTATCCCACTCCCGGACCAACTGCGCGAGAGACTCGCACAGGAAATCCACGCTGTCTATCTGGCCGTCCGTTCCAGAACAGCAACGGAGTCAGAAAAAGCCGACCTGAAACCCTGGCACGAGACCGACGAGGAATTAAAGGAATCGTCCCGCGCGCACGCCGAAATGATACCTTCCAAACTCCGCGAAATCAGATGCTTTCTCACCGAGAAGCAGGAACATCGCGAACCCGTGCGGAGCTTTACGCCAGCGCAGATCGAGCGCCTCGGTGAGATAGAGCATGAACGGTGGAATACAGAGCGGCTGCAAAACCAGTGGAAGCGTGGAGATGAGCGTGACATCGCCAAGCGCAGCAGTCCGCTTCTGATACCTTGGTGTGATCTTGAGCAGAAGTGGCAGGATATAGATCGCGCGATTGTGGCGAGTTATCCTAGAATCTTGCCTGAGGAGTATGAGATATACCTCCTAGGACCCAAGGAGGCAAGAACAGATTGAACGAAAACAAGAGGTACATATTATACATGTACTATACTATCTTCCCAGCCCAGATTCTGTTCCGATTGCGTTCCTCGCACTTAGAGACCGCTTTCCAGATGAGGACCACGATGAAAGTTAACGCGACCGATAGGCCAAAGTACAGCCAGATCCAATGTGAAACTCCAACAGAGCTTCCGCCATCCACTGGATCTGTGCTCCAGTTGAAAAAGCCCATGCTGAAAATAGTCTGTTGCAAGCACTAAGTATTGGTTTCAAACTTTCAAGGACAGACAAGACGTACTGCTAGGAATGTGGCAGGGAGAAACACTAGGGTCATAATTGCAATTATCTTCAGGGAGACGCGGTCGCGGTGTTCCATCTATCTCGAGTTCAGTCTCTTGCTAAATAGTAAGACAGAGCGATACATACCGCAGCCCTGCTTTGGTCGTCAACCTACAGTCTCCTCGGTTAGAAAGAACTCCAAGGCATCCTCAAGGCTAAAGTGAGCAGTGAACTCACCAGCTTCTGCTGTGACTCAATTCTCAACGCCGTAGTATCAATATCATGAATGAAAGTCTTCAGAATCGCCTTCTGGTTTGAGACTTTCGCCATCAGCGTAGGTGAGTAAACTCCCTGCGCCCCGACCATCCCATGGTTGTCCGAGCCTGGGCCAAGCAAGTATCGTCTCTCGAGCAGCCCGAACGCAATAAGCAGATTACCAGCTAACTCCTGAGCAAAATCCCACCTGCGCTTCAGAAACAAATTCTTTTGCCACATTTTAAACAGCTCATCCCTCGTCCTCCTTAGTTCCTCAAGCGGCACATTCTCTCCAATCACCAACACCCGGTACTGTGCCACCAGCGCGCGCTTGATATCATTCACCTCCGTCATGATATGTTCTACCTGCCAGATCAGCAACACCACGGGGAGAACCATGAGATCGGCTGGGATCGGCGCCGGAGAATCATGTGGGAATGGGTCGTGGCAAAGAAGACGCTCCGCGGAGTCGTGCCAGAGACTGCTGGGGCGGACAGAAAGTAAACATTCCCAGTCGATACCGCGGGAGTGGGACTCTTGTGGTCGGTGGTTGAGGGATAAGGCGAAGAACGGGTATCCGTCGTCTTGTGGGGTTTGAGCGATGAAGGTGATGCCTGTTGCGGGATCTTCGAGGATCGCCGAGCCCGCCGTGTCGTTTTTGAGGAAGAAATCGAAGCGCTCAGTTATGTAGCCGGCTGCTTTTGCGGCAGTCGTGATGGGTGTTAGTTGGTAGTCGGAGGTAGTCGTTTGAGGAGTTTCAACTAGGCTAGCTATACTGAGCACTGGATTTCATAGAAATGGAGAGGTCAGGGTTCATGAAGGCACTTACAGGATTCTGAACCGGTTGTTTCTGAGTAGTTTGCGTTTGTCTCTCTGGATTCAGGTTCCCAGTCAGCAACTGTCAGCTAGCATAGTTTTGTACGAGTCTGGGGGTCCGCAGTCCTACCGGAGAGGGATTGTTCAAGAAACCAATTGCTCCTTCCTCAGACTGCTTTGTCCACGGAATAGGTTGTTGGATTCGCCATCCCGTTCTCTACAGATCGGTTAATCCGATTCGTAGTGCCCATAATTCCCATAACAATCACCTCGATGGCCGCGACACTAGTCTCATATGTCTTGAACTCAACGGCAGTTGCAACAAGGTCGTCGAAAACGGCCACCAACGGAGCAGGGGGCTCTATGGAAATCATTGCGAGGAAATAATTTAGCGTATGAAGTTCATCTGGACGTACCATGGAGAGTTCAGCCGCTCAGGGAGGCAGGGATCTACCAGGTCGTTGCTAGTACATACGCAAAAAATAGTGGTATTTCAAATACATTAACATAGCTTGTAGTATCATTTATTATTAGTATGTTGTAGAAATCGTCCAACTTTGGAAGTACCAAGTAAATAGTTCAATACCTAATACCGGATTATCCGACGAGCACCCCACGTCCAAGTCACGGCATAAGCATAAGCCCTAGCTGGCATAGTGGGGACCTGAGTTTGAATGGCATGTCCCATGCGTATGTACGTATCTAGCTTCTCTAGAGACGTGGCAGCCCCGTTTGCAAGGCTACTGACTGACACGAGGCGATGATCATCAGCTTCCAACCAATCAGCCACATCAAACCTCCCTCGTTCGCAGTAAAGGTCATCGTGGCTGTTTCTTATTGGGCTCGCGAGTATGAGAGCCTTGCGGAGGCGTCAAACGGACTCGAGCAAACGGCTGCATGTATCTACTTATGGCAATTTCAGCTTGGTCAGCTTACATCCAGCCGGGTAGCGGAGCGCCTTTCCATCAATTCCAGGCAAAGAGCCCTCCGTGAGCGGGGTAAGGCTTTCCCCGAGCCAAATTGTCAGTTTGTCTGATGTTGGCGTAAAATGAGAAATCCTACCGACACGTTACCTGCCATACTACTTTAGGTAAGTCTCCCGCTGGCCGCAATTTTTGACCAGTCTTTGTAATTTATTATGGTCGTAGTTACGGAGTAGTTATGATCGATCTGATAGAAATTAAAGATTACCTGATCAACAGATCTGTCAAATACGAAGCTATTCAGAAAGGATAGTGAGAAGTCGGTTGATGTAAGCTCCCAGATATCCATGTTCAAGGCTCAACTTTAGTGCAAGAGATGCGTTTTACTGACAAGGTAATATATACTGAGGTTCAGAACAAACTGCTCCATCCAGTGCATCCTAAGATGGGTCACAGTTTTCCGTCCTTTCAAGACATCCCACGCAGCTGCGTTACTCCAGATACGCGCTCGCGCATCCTGAGGCGGGCCATGTGAATTATAGCTAGCCATACGCGAATCGGGCGCGTTGCTATTCGGTAGGATGTCGCTCACGCCTACCGAAAATTTACACAATGCAGTCAAAGTGGAATTTCAGGTAAACTGATAATGAGCGTCTCAATGAAATGGCCGCCCTGTTTATCTTCCTGGGTATCCACAACCTCTGCCTTCAACTGAATACACTGCTTTTTCCGAGAAGGTTTGGATGGGGTTGAATGCTTATTCGTAGTATTTTCATCAGCACTTCCGATATAGTACAGCTACATTCAGATGCAACTTTGCCTGACTGGTATGCAGTGATGCCCAATGGCGAGACTAGCTGGAAATGGCAAAAATCTCCGAAGAGTCAGCTGCCAAACTGGTTGCCCATGACATGATCCCATGACAGTCAAATCTGAGTTCGATGTGGAAGTTCTCCCATCATTATCCGCTGCATCCCGGCAGCATATATCAAGTATCATTAGCAACCAAAACGAATTTACTCAATTCAAATTTCCTTAAGCGAGCATGGAGTGCCTCGGTATTCCTATTGGCCATCGACTGCGGCGAATAATTCGGGAAGTTCAGCCAAGCGACACGAACGGAGAAGACTCTGATCACATTCGAATCCTCCACAAATTCGGAACTTCTCTCAAAATCGAGACCAGTGACTATCTTACACCGTGTGATTTGAGCTTCGGAATCGAAATGGCGCGACCTGAATCCAAGGGTGGTATTGTGGTTGTCTTACAGCAACCCCATTCCTCGCAAGATAACTCAAGCGGCTTCTTTGGCGGGTAAACGCAGTTGTTTGTCTGTGAAAGCAGTATCCGAATTAATTCATGCGACGAGCAATGCAAGGTTCGGCTTTGATGACATCAGCGTTTTTGACGCAATCTCAATTGAGAGATGAATGTCATAAGCAAGCAGAGAAGCTCAGAGAAGGTATGTGTACTACTCCGGTATTTTAATAAACTATTAACAGATCTTACATTAGCTGAGGACAATCCTTGGAAAGCACATTTTTTCAAAGGGCAATGGAAAGATCCTCTTGAAGCTTTGGAAGCAAGTTTTAAGGAGTGCTTTTTTGATGAGCACGGCTTTAGCTTGACCGAAATTGCTGAAACTCGCTCCTCTTTACTGGTGGAATCCAAGATCACGTGGATATGTTGCGATATCGCATGGATCTTGGACAATCAGGATATTATTGTCCTAGACATGCCGCGACAGCTACTCTCACAATTCAAAAGCTGGTGTAAAAAATCATGGCCGGAAACAAAACTTCAACGCAACTTTAGTGGTTCCAGTGGGTACTATTATCATTCAGCACTATTGCTTACGAAATCGAAACAGCAAGGGGCTTGCGCAAGGAGGCTTGAGAGCATTCTTTATGCCTTTTTACGTGATTTGAATCTGTCTTATGAATGGTCCCAGCATCAGAACATACTCAACAAGCAAGCTCAGGCAGATACCTTTCGAAGATTTGCTACGGCTTTCGAAGGCATACTAGAGGAAGCCCACGAGAAGAGCAGATCAAGGAAGCAGGATTTATGCGGTAAATTGAGCTCTTTGAAGTTGAACCAGTGAATACTGTTATCTCAGACAACCCATGTCGAAGATTGTAGCAAACAAAACCTCTTTTATGCTCTTACAGTTCAGCCTTTCCCCCGCTTCGGTGCTGATCTCATTATACCAAGGGCAGGGCGAGCTTTTTATGCCGGGGCAACAGAAGGCCAACCTTACAGAACGAGGTCTTGAGGTGCTAAACTGAAAGAAGTAAACTAACCACGCATAGTAATTCACAGGTCCGAGTATTACATAAATTACAGACCCTCGCAACCGATCTGCTTGGAATAATATGTTATCCGGCGAAGTGTGCACTTGTCAGAGCGACGATAGTATGTATATTTTCCCTAGCCGATAATTTCTCTAGAGATATGGTGACGGAATTTCCAATAGCGTGTCGTTCAGATAGGATAGATGAAGAACGGGTTCTCCATATCAGTCATATCCAACATGGCAATTTCAACTTGCCTGCGTATCGTATTCCCATTTTCATCAAGCTCCTCGACGACTCCCAATTCGTGAGCCTTTCTCTCTTCACTGGTCAAGGATGCAGCCCAAGCCTTCCGTTGAGTGTTCCTGCGTTTCAATATGAACCGTATAATGAAAAGAATCAATGGTGTGCCCACCCAACTGACCACTATCATGGAGATCCAGGCACCGTAATACCGAGGTGCGTCTTTAGGAACCCATATTTGTGGCGAGCAAATGTTTGCAATGGAATAACCAACCATGAACATAACATTTCGGGTCAGCTTCTTCGTGTAGCCGGCTGCCGATGATGTAGTCCAACCCAACGCGATAATGTAGGTATTACCATAGGTGTGGCCAGCCAATAGCAGACAAGCAAGCATCCCTAACTTCTGGTCCCAGGCAATTGCGACCATTCCAACTCCACCTGCAATTGCAGGAAGACACCAGAAGAGTCCGTGGAAGGCAAGATTTGAAGGCCACCAGCGCAGGGCATATGCTCCTGCAAGACAAACCAGGACACCGAAACCGCCACCAGCTGCAGCCACGAGCGTCGAACCCAGGCTGTCCACCCCAAGAGCCTTGGTAATGAGGTTCTGCTGCCCGTAGGTGAGGTTATTAGACATCATGAGGGTAAAGGCCTGCAGAGCGAATAGCCATGAGACAGGGTCGCGGAGCGTCTCTATAAACTGGCTCTTCTTGAACTGCTTCTGTTCAATAGAGCTTTGACTTGACTCGTGTACTCGTCTGATGGTGTGGATCTTTTCCTCCAGTGATAGGAATTTAGCATCAGCTGGATTATTCGGATAATGAAACCAAACAACAATTGAAAGAAGTACCGAGACAGCCCCGGTGATAATCATGAACAGCTTCCATGGCAGGACGGCACTATGACTCCAAAGTAGCCCGTAGGAGATAAATGCGGCACATATGGGGGCGGCTGCCGACGTCAACCAAAGGAAAGGTTGGAGAAACGACTGTTCGTAGCGATTAAAGAACATTCCGATTGTGACTTCCATTGCAGGTACAACGACAGACTCAGCGGCACCGAGCGCTAGCCGGAGGACCACAAGAGCGGAATACGTTGTGGCAACGCAATGAAGTAGGAGGATGACACCCCACATGAAGACAAGAGCGGCGACAAATTTTCCGAATGGTAGTTTCTGCATAGCATAATGTCCCGGCCATTGTGCAACAATGTAACCTATGGGAATGTTAGAGAAGGTAAAATGAGAGAAACAATACTGTCACGTACCAACGTAGAAGAAAGTCCCAAGATTGTTGTATTCAGCCTTCGTGATACCAGTCTCTTCGAACAGGCCGAGAATAGCGGCGTAGCCCAGAGTGGATTTATCTATCTAGAGAAGTTAGAGGCTGTGAACAAGATGATCGGAGAATGAGCTCACAAATAGCAGTAGGTTGATAGCGGAGAGTAGTCCGAAGATATTCCAGTACAATTTGTGTCTCAGCTTTTTCTCCTTCTCGGGCGTCAATGGCCCAACAGAGTCTCCATGAAGCTCAAGAATGCGCAGAGTTTCATCGGCATATTTGCTCTCGAGGGCTCTCTCGTTATTAGATGAAAGACTCTCCGTGGCCGTAGCCTCAGCCTTGGAGGCCAAATCCATATGTGCGTGTAGCTTGTTTCTTGGTGGCAATGGAAAGAGGCGTTCACCGTCGACTTGGGTCTTTGAATGAATAGACACTTATCATGAAGGAATGAATGAGCTGACTGAGTAGTTATATATCGTTTCTAGGGTACTTGGAAATGTTATCACGCCATAATTTAGATTTATCTCGCTCTTTCTTGGCTCTCGAAATGGGGTTGAGTAATACGAGACCACTCATAGTTAGCAATTGCGAAGACTCCGAATCACACACTGCCCATCATAATCTCTAGGTTACGGTCAACTTTCTCCAGTAGCGATGGTTGGACAAGGGACAAGCAAACAGAGGATGTGAAAGAGCAAGATCAATCGTATATCTTTGCCTCAGACACAAAACTCTAAGCAAGGGCCCGTGCGGAACCATATGGAGCAGGCCGGGCCGGTTCCGTCGGACCAATCTTGAAATCCGAAGGGTCAATATCGGCCTATGATCCCGCAGATCGCGACATATCGAATCTGTTCCTGATCCGTTCTAACCCTCTGATTAGTGGATCATAATCCTTTCGAGGTAGCTCCTTCAAACCGACGCTTAGTTGTCCGTCCGAGCGAATCGCCTGAATCTCTATGATGTGTAGGATTTCTGTGGATTGGTGGACACAAAGAGAAAAAAGAAGAGAGTGTATCGGGAAAAAGCATGTAACTACCTGCAGCTAAAAGTTCTGTGCCATGGGGGAAACCAATATTTCCCCAAGAGAGTAACATGACGTGATAATAACAAAACAACCATCATTGCGCGAAATGGCATGGTGTTGAATGTTCTAGTCAACCCAACTTGGCGCATCTACGTCGCCACCTCCACCAGCCAAGCTTTTTCTTTTCGCCATTTAGCTAGCTATTACGTGCTAGATTTATTTAGGAAGAATTAATAGTACCACCATATGCATTCGGGTTTGGTTTATCTTACCATGCAAATCCTAGCTTGGCAAATATCCTACCGGTGTCCCGATCTAAGATAGGTCGTTATCATATGCTTCATGTTTGCTTGTTTGCTTGCTTGCTCATTTGCTTGCTCGCCATAGATTGTTTGTTAGATAGCTAAGCGAGAAGGTTGGTTGTTTGCAACGTTTGCATGTCAGCTATATCAACTAGCTGCTTCCACTTTACAACTTGCTTCTTCTTTCTTTCTCCCTCTTAGTCATTTAGTTGAATGCACTCTTTCTTCTATCAAGATCGACCTGGTTCCTCGCAATAGGTGCAATTTGACAAGGATATTATACAGAGACCTGGACACCAGATGAGGGATTATCTTTCAGTTCGAACTTACAATGATGCCTTTTACTTCAAGCTCGAAGTCCATATGGTCGGTTTTATGTCTATACATTCAATTTTTTACCCTATTTCCCCGTTCTCAATCTCCAACATCATTTGCTCCGCTTCCCTTGCTGCCGTTCTCGCTTCGTCTCCGATCTCGCCGCTCATCCTAGCTACCTCCCTAAATCTCTTCCGCCATAGCTGCCACCTCTCCTTGCAAAAGCTATGTTTGCCTTTCCAGAGAGGGCCTCCCCTTCCCGGCGCTATACCCGGATAGCCGCTAAGATCTTCATCCCATTCATAAATCTCTACGCCGAGAATACTGATCCATACAGTAGTAGAAGGAATCGCCTCCTCTAAGGGGTGAGTTGGTAACAACTGGCCTATAGGTATTTCTAGCGCGTCGCGGAGGGTGAACATTGCAAACCATAAGTATGCGAATATAGGTTCCTCGGTTGCCATCAAAAGTGCTGTGAATTTATCCCGGTTAATGATTTTCGAGATTGCGCCTCGTCGGTGATCACGGGGTCCACTAGGTATAGACATATTCCACTGATCACTGAGTTCCTAGCCTAGCATCGGGAGGTCTTTCCAAATTTGCATATCGTAAACAATGAGTGTATCCTCACTGGGCAGCTTGGAGAGTTGGACTAGGATCTCGACAATCTTGTCATGGTATTCAGAGGACTCGCAGGCACATGTTACTATCACACTCCAAAGATTATAAAGACCGTATTGAGGAGGGTCCACTGATAAGGTAATCGAAGCGAGATCCTTCACGGCTTCTTGGATAGAGATTCTATCGCTGAATAGGTCCTGCAGGATAGCAAGCATCTCGTCATAGACGTCTGCCATTTTGAGAAAATACTCAATAGTAATTCACAGATGATGTAAGTTCGCTCGTATATGAATCAATACATGACCGCTGCAGACTGCAGTGACGCAGGAATTCCGACCCCTATGTTTATGCCAGAGTTCCAAATCCGCTTGTGGAGGGGTCAATTAGCACACCGCTCTATAATTGTGCCAAGCGCCCAATGCACATACCGTGATGTTGAGGCCCAGCTGCGCAACTCGAGCTGCCACTATGCCACAGCGGATTCCGGCACGGCCTTGTCGACTTGAAGCTCACAACACCGATAACCACAACGACACAGCCAAATGATGGCTTCCTCGAAATCAATACACGCGCACCCGGTTGGCAAGAAGTCGAAGCTACTGCGCGTGAATACGGCATATTTTACTGCAGGATCTCTTCTGAACGCCTTGGCCGATAAAGACTGTATCATCTCCCTGTCTAAACATTTCCTGGGCGGGTCCCAATACAACATGCACCTTCGGCTCAGAAGGGAGGTATTTACAAATTTGGCGGCACATTTACGGTAGTAACGAAAGTCTGATGGTGATTATTTTTATTAGATTCACTCCATAATTTGCAGTATATCCCAAGTACTCGGAAACATATCATCAACAAAAGTCATATCAGGCATAAAAGGCTGACGGAGATCAAGATTTGTCTCCCCCGAGTTCTCAACCGGTGGCTCTGACTTCAACAGCTTGTCAATGACATCGGAATGCTGTGCGAGGCAAATATCACCTAGATCCCACCCAAAGTTCTTGTGGTGCGATCGTAACGAATCCAAAAGGTCATTCGCCATTCGCAGAGAACCACTCTGTGCAAGACCCGCTCCCTGCTCTGTCTCTAGTGCGCACCGAATCAAAAACGTCACCGTTGCTGAAAATGTGAATGCTACGACAGGTAACCAGAAGTCACCCAACTGGGCTTCTCCGAGTTCCTGGACCAGAACCACAATGTCTTCTGCAGTCCTGCGCGCTTCCATAATTTGGTTGGCCATGTGCTCTGCATTTGAGTCTGGTGCTTGCCGCTCTCGATCTAGGTCAATGCGCCGGAGGAGGAGTCTTGTTGCGAGGTATGCCAGACGGAGATTAGAGGATCCGGGAATATTGAGGTTTGAGCCCCGGATGATGATTTTGCGGATGTCTCCTGTGAGTGAGTCCACCCATTTGTTCAACTCTAGTTCCAGATTCCTGCTTGGTACTTGGGTCTCTATTCGGATGCTGTACACCTTCTCCAGACAGTGATCTAGCACATCGGTCAAGTTCATGAGCTCGATAAAAACCGCGTTTGCTTCGTGGTCTCGTTCCCAATCTGACAGGTACTCGGATTTTGGTAGTGGTACGTCGTATTGTGATCTCCTGATATGGGGAGGTGTCCCATAAGCTAGACTCGACCTATTTGATAATGAGTTCCTAAAATATTGCACTGTTTAAAAAGTTCGTGCTCGAAAACATACCAGCGATCATGGAGTAGTATAGACCACCAGATCTTCATTCTCATGTGCTTCTCCTCCTGTGGGATATCCCACGGAAGGGGGTTTCGATTTAAACCCAGGGAATGGCACAACGCAACTGCCGAACCAAGCCTTACTCCGTTGCCTGTCATAGATGTGGTTGGACGACCCCCAATATCGAGGAGAATGGCCTTTATCGTGGATATTCCAGCTGAGGCATGCAACTCGGAATAAGACGCTTCAATTGCAAGATTCCAGACAAAACGAACGTCTGGGCATCTTTCTCGTGACAGAAGGGGGTCATGTTGCCATTGGGTAAGCATGTGGGCATACAGGCACGCCAAAAGTGCAGGAGAAATGCGGTGTCTGGCATTTGTGTATTGCGCCCGAAAGGAACTTTCTTCAAGTAGTGGGATGCAGGGATTGATCTTTCTCAGATATCTGGTGACAATTAGTTTCCATAACTTCTGGAAAATATCAACCAACATCATGTAACTCACATGTCTATCAAGTGTGGTCCCCATGGCTCTACAAGCTTTTCGATGGTTTGTAACTTATGCAATGCCGGACTAGAGTTCACCATGAGCCCCAACGGCCTTTTCTGTACTTTGGTAAATATAACCGGGGATGAGGAACTACCCGGCTCGACTGGACGAATCTCACGAATCCCCTGGCCACCCGAAATGTTAGACAGATAGTCAGCCAAGACATGATTATCCCCAGTCACCGCCGGACCGAGGATATGGGGATTATCATCGTCGGCTTCGAGAGATAGCGGCGTATCCTGGTCGTTCTGAGGTTGTGTGACAATCGAGAACTGCGGCGAAGCCGCTACCGGTTGCGGCAGCCGGTTCAGTGGCTGGGCAGCTGCGGCTGGAATTCGTAAAGTCGGATGAGGTTGTATTGGGCTATCCTCTGTAGAATACCTCTTTTGCGGTGTTGACTTTCCTCTGCCGTTGGGAAATGTACACTCTGTGCCGTGTGCACGACACATCAGACAGGCCGCGGTGTGGGGCTCCAATTTGCATCGCGATTTTCTCCGCCGGCACGGTACGCATGCTGGCTTCGTGTGAGACCGGTATGGTCGCTCGTCCCCGCTTTCCATCTTGTTTGTCAATGCTTTTCGGATGGAGGGAAATCCCGCGGCAAGTTCCCCTCGGCTAAGCCTGATATGTGTGGCGAGGTCGAGTTTGTCCTAAACGTAGGATAATAAGGAGCAATTGCTTGAAGCTTAGCTCTTGCCAGCTAGTTACCTTGTTTAATGCGATTCATCAACCTTCAATCCACCCTTATTCGGCCTTCTGTTGGAAGATCAGTCGTGGGAAATTCCGCGGCAAAGAGTGGGTCCGGCTGTAGTCCGTGGACCTCCCGAGATCGGACCGTTTAGTAGAATTGTATTTCTCTGTTTATAGCTATATTTATAGCTATGTCCAACTGGAAATATCACTTACAGGCTGAAAGTAAAGTTTGCTTTAACATCGTGATAATGAGATCTGTGAAGTTGGAGGGAAATAAATTCAGCAATCGCCGTTGGTCGGTTTCGTACCTGCGACGTGGGGCTGTGGGGCGGTACACGTGACTTCTCAATTGCGTAGGACCAATCACATATTGTAAAAAAGACCTCCACCCTATAAGCTTAATAAAGGACATGTAAAAGAAAAAAAAATAGGTAGCTTCTCTTTGATTGAGCGTGTCATCCTTAGTGCAGGGGCCATGCTAATCTTCTCTGTATATTTTCATTTGACCATATGCCCCGAAGGGCGAAAGAGCATCCTTAAAGTTCAATATAAACTCACTTTCCGGCAGAAACTGACCGCCTACTATATTAGGTGGGTTTGCTACATAACATTGTCTCACTGGGTTAGGTACTACCTAGTTTTCCCAATTTTGACCTTGCCTTTGCAATCAGTAGGGATTAGCAAACTGTCCAAATGCATTTCCCAAAGCGCCTTGATCACTAGGAGGTCACAATGAGTGAACATGACTCATGTCTCGGCGTGATCCACTATTCCCCTTGCGGATCTACATAGAGGAACCCGTGGAAGCTTCAATATAAAAGTCTAATATCCTTTTCATATCCTTGTTCAATATGCGGATCTGAGAAAGCCGGCAAATCTGTTCACTTTTCAGGTCTTTATATATTTCTACCTCTTCTCCAACCATGAAGCTCCCCCTTGACAAACCCACCAATCCGCCATCTATAGCAGATCCTCTAGATCCTCTGCAAATACAACAGACTGAAAAAAAACGTACACCAACGCCAATCGATGATTCTGGGCCTCACAGTAGCCAGAAGGAACCTCAATATCCCGGAAAAGCCAAGCTCATCCTCATCACCCTCAGCTTGAGCCTCTGCATGTTCCTTGTGGGGCTAGACAACACAATTATTTCCAGCGCTATCCCCAAAATCACCGATGATTTCAACGCATTAGAAGATGTTGGGTGGTACGCGAGTGCCTTCATGCTCACAGTATGTACATTCCAGCTGATGTGGGGAAAGCTCTTCACATTCTATACCATTAAATGGGTCTACTTGGCCTCCCTGTTTATCTTCGAACTCGGCTCTTTGATCTGTGGTGTTGCACCTACATCCACTGCCCTGATTGTTGGGCGTGCTATTGCCGGAGTCGGTGGTGGTGGTGTCTCAAACGGTTCGTTTTTATTGATCGCCTACTCGGTGCCGCCACGCCAACGTCCTATGTTGATTGGGGCCCTTGGTGCTATGTACGGATTCTCTGCCATTGCTGGTCCTTTGATAGGGGGCGCCTTCACCAATAGCACCAAACTCACTTGGAGGTGGTGTTTCTACATTAACCTTCCTCTTGGGTTTGTTGCCGGTCTTGTCATTTTATTCTTCGTTTCTTCTTTCAAAGGAAGTAAAGCAGGTAAACTCGGCTTTATCAATCAACTGAAGCAGATGGATATTCTTGGTACCTTCTGTTTACTACCTGGTATCATTTGTTTGCTCCTTTCCCTGCAATGGGGTGGTACCAAATACCCATGGAGCAATGGTCGAATCATTGCTCTGTTGGTATTGGCCTTCGTTATTTTGGTCGCATTTGGGTTTATTCAGCTTCGGTCCGGTGAACTTGCAACCGTCCCCCAGCGAATTTTCTGCAACCGCAATATTTGGGGCTCATCTTTGTTCGGTTCATGCATCGTCGCTGCGTTTTTCGTCATACTCTATTACGTATGTATAGCTCCTTCTGAGGTTGGATAAACCTAAATTACAGCATATTGACTTGTTCGCCAGATTTCTATTTGGTTTCAAGCCATCAAGGGAGCCAGCCCAATCAAGTCCGGTGTCATGAGTCTTCCTCTTGTATTGAGCTACGTGCTCTTCTCGTTCGTGACAGGCGGCCTTAGTTCCGTGTTTGGGTACTATGTACAATGGGCCTATATTGCGGTGGCATTCATGGCAATCGGAACCGGTTTGCTCACCATGCTAGACGTCAACTCCGGCCACGCAGAATGGATTGGATATCAAGTGATCCTTGGGGCAGGAGTTGGGTGTGGCCTACAGACAGCATTCTCCGCACCCCAAACTGCGCTATCATTGGAGGATATCCCCATCGGCACCGCTGTTGTTATATTCACGGAGAATCTCGCCAGTGCAGTCTTCGTCTCCGTTGCGCAGAACGTATTCACAAATCAGCTGAAAACAAATATGGCGCAATACGCTCCAGGTGTTGATGCCACAGAAATTATTGCAGCCGGCGCAACGAAATTCAAGAGCCAATTGCCTAGGGAGCTCTCCAACGCTGTCCTGTTTGCTTACAACAAGGCCCTGGATCAGACATTCTACGTGGGCGTCGCCCTCTCTTGCTTTGGCATTCTCGGTGTATTGGGGCTAGAGTGGCTCTCTGTCAAAGGAAAGAATGATGATACTTCCGATGATATCCCTACCCCTTGAAATAATATATGTCACTTCCTATTATAATTCATTTCCTTTCTTTAAATTGAAAATGATCAACCGATAATCTCTATTATTTCGTTCTTCCGCCTTAGCATTAGCCCAAGCCCGCAGAGAAAACCGCCTACAGAAAAATGGCCCCCGAGATGCGGCCGGTGTTCTACATTTGTATATTGGAGCATGTCAGATACCGCTCCTATAATCTATCCGTAGTTGAAAAATTACCGCCCCTAATGATGGTAACACTTCTCCGTAATTTTCCCGTACCGATTTTCATAATGATTAACTTACTGAACAGGGGTAAAGTATCCCCATTAGTTCGGAAACCGCGAAAAGATCAGCCTTCCCGACTGCGCCGGGGTCCCAGCACCGTACCAAGAATTCCCCATACTGGCGAACGGACTTTTATTTGCGGATGGCAGTGATCAGAATACGGATCGTATTATCTATAAGATTACGGCCACGGATCCGGCATCTGGTCTGCCCGAGAACTTCCAATACTGCGGTGTTATCACCCATATTGGGGCTAAGGATAACAAATTCGTTACATGTGCGAATGCGTGATTAGATCCACTTTCTGATTTGCAGATCATTTATTTGGAATCTGCGCTCCTGTGTCAATGAGAGAGAAACTTAGGTGTTCTAGAAATTCAGGTCGACGACGTCCTGTGGACGAATATATGGATACGTAGCTAAAATGACAAGATGGAAGAAAGTTATGGGCAACATATTGTACAGTAAAACTATCACAAGGACAGTATTAGAATAACTAGTTCTGGAAATGGCACGCTCGGTGATAATCCTTTTTATCGGAAAAAAGATGTTTTCTTGGTAGTATATCCAGGTGTTATATAGGTTCTGGATATGATTCGAAATTTTCCGTAAAATTAATTTGGTACCTATGATATGGAGCCCATTGACTCGCAATACTCCGTACACACGTGAGTCCTGAGCGCTATGGGGTTCTCGTACTACGTCACTGCAGCGGAAATTTATTTATATATAAGCCAACTTGCATCATCTGTGAATTACTATTGAGTATTTTCTCAAAATGACAGCCATTACAGACGAAATGTTTGCTCCCCAATTTGCTGTCCTACAGGACCTGTTCGGCGACATCATCTCTGTACAAAAAGCCGTCAGGGATCTCGCTTCGATCTCCTTATCAATAGAACCTAAAGCAGGTCTTGGTCGTCTTTGGGCTGTGATAGTGGGATGCGCCTGCGAATCCCCTGAACACCATGATAAGCTTGTCGATATTCTAGTCCAGCTCTCTAAGCTCCCAAGTCCGAAAACAGCCGGTGGGGACGCACTCATTCTCTACGATATGCAAATTTGGAAAGACCTCCCGACACTAGGCTGGGCACTCCGTGAGCAGTGGAATATATCTGTGCCTAGTGGACCCCCTGATAACCGACAAAGTGTAATCTCGAAAATCATCAACCGGGACAAATTCACAGCACTTTTGATGGCAACCGAGGAACCCGTATTCGCATACTCATGGTTTGCAATATTCACCCTCCGCGACGCGCTGGAAATACCTATAAACCAATTGTTACCAACCTACCCCTTAGAGGCGTTGATTCCTGCTGCTGCATGGATCAGTACTCTCGGCGTGGAGATCTATGAATGGGATAAAGATCTTAGCGGCTATAAAGGCATGGCGCCGGGAAGCGGAGGCCCTCTTTGGTAAGGCAAACATAGCTTTTGCAAGGAGAGGTGGCAGCTATGGCGGAAGAGATTTGGGGAGGTGGCTAGGATGAGGGGCGAGATCGGAGACGAAGCGAGAACGGCAGCAAGGGAAGCGGAGGAAATGATGTTGGAGATTGAGAATGGGGAAGTGGAGTGAAATGTTGTACAATATATGGACATGTGGTGGTCCTCGAATAGCCAGATAGCCATCTCCAGTTTGCTGCCATCGAACATGTGATATTTGAGCACTGGCAAATTTGGATTCTGAACTCCTCATATTAGACCTCGATATTCTTGAATTGAAAAGCATGAGAGCCTTTTGTAGTCACGCGACCCAGTAGGCCTTTACTACACGTCCTAATATCTAAAGAAAGGAAATTGTATCGGGGACCCCTCCATTGGTTGTCGGGACCCCCCCCCACCTGCCCGATAGTTCAAGCATCAACTGACCGCCTACTATAAAGACTCACCGCTTTCCTGGCCGCCTTGGCACATGATCTGGCACATGATCTCACGCGTGACGTGACGCGTCACAGTAAGTCGAAGGGGACCCCTTTCGGGCCGGGATCTTTTTAGCAGAAAAGTAAGCTCCGTCCATACTTTACCGGCGCAAAGCTGATGGCTGGAAAGCCAAGCCTAGATTTCAATTTCAATGGCCCTGTCTCCACCATTTTTGACCCCTTTCGCGTTTTCTTCACGTTTTGAGCATTTATCTCTTCAATATGGCCTCTTTAGGGCTTGCGTACCTTGAAGATTCGGATTCCGAGTCCAATACCGATCCCGATATTAATCCAGACGCCCAATCCAACCCGCCCAATGCCCAGCCAGATCCCGATTCCCTCACACAGCCGCTGCCACCCTCTACACAGCCGACATGCGCGATCACGATGGCGCTACCGCCCACCGATCGTACATACGCGACCTCCGATGAAGCAAAGGATGCTATCAACGACTTCGCACGCCCACATGGGTATGCGGTTACGATCCGGCGGTCTAAGACTACCAAAAGGGGGGTGAAGAAGACAGTCCGGCTTATCTGTGATCGTGGTCGGAGGCCAGATGCATGTGAGCATCGGCCTCAACCGAAGAAGCGAATCAATACCAATACTATGGCTTTGGAATGCCCCTTCTCTATGGCTCTGCGGCGAGACCACGGAACAGGTCTTTGGCATGTCACAATCGAGAACCCGTCCCATAACCACCAACCATCTCCTGCCTCAACTCACGCTGTACAGCGAACCCGAGAGCTTACCCATAAAAGAGAGCAGATTGTTACTGCGCTTCGATTGGGTCGTACTACTCGTCAGATCATGGCCGAATTGCATGAGGCTGACCCGGACACTGCTATCATTCCGCGTGATATTTACAGCACCCGGTTCAGATTGAAGCAGTTGTTTCCTGTAAAGCGTACCAAATCAAAGAAATAATCATAATTTTGAGCAGAATGGTGCATTTTTTACTATGTAAACAAGAATTCAAACTTACAGAAATAAGTATGGCAGAAAATTAAAAGAAATGGCAGAAATAGCCGATGCCTAAGGAATCAGACACGCAGAGATCAGCCAAAGGGGGGTCCCCAAAACAATCCCCAAAACATAACTAGAGCTATAGTTATTGGGATCTTGCTTGTTTACTTGCTTGCACCACACCACACATTGACAATTCTTATCCCTAGGGGGATCAAACATAGGACTTCATATGCCTCATTAACAGTTTGGTCACTTTTATATTGGACCGTCTGAATTATTGTTCGGAGAGTATCTTCGCTTGATGCATATACAATGACACCTCCAAAATTTGAACACCCCCTAAAGTGGGGCCCCTAATTACATAACATTCTGCCGGTCAAAAACCTCCATGAATTCATACTAGTAGCTAGGTCTACTAGCGTGTTCAGGGGCGGGCGGTGAGAGCGGTGAGAGGGGCCCCACTTTAGGGGGTGTTCAAATTTTGGAGGTGTCACTGTACTCCATCGGTACCGTACCACGTGATCCCAATATGCACCGGTATTATTATAGCAACGTTGGAAATTGTACTACAGAATTTATAAAAACTACATTGCGTGCATACTCTCCACATATTCGACATAGAATCTGACAAGACACCATACAGTAGGGAAATACATAGCCGATTGGACTCGAACATATCGACTAGTAGCGTTTTGACGCAATCCAAGCCGAGTATGAGCTCAACAGATTATAAAGCACGAAATAAGTAACTCTACTTCCACTTCACCCAGATTATAATCCATTCAGTCATTTACAATCATTGCAACTCAGCTCACAGAATATGGCCAATCTCGAAGCCCGCAAGCATATTTCCCCCGACTCGGGGTTCCCCATTACACTTCATCCCCATTTCAACGAGAAGATCAAGAGCCATGTGCCTCCAGAGCCACCCCGCGAGCCATTTACCCCGCCCAAAGACCGAGCATTCTTTGCAGATCCGGAGAAGAAGGCATTATTCTCTGTGGCGAAGCCGGTTGACTTGACTGAGTCTATTGGAACTGTTCTCGAGAATGTGCAATTGTCTCAGCTGAATGAGACTCAGTTGGATGAATTGGCACTTCTTGTTAATGAGCGGGGAGTTGTCTTCTTTCGGGATCAGGATCTTACTACTGAGCAACAGGTAGAACTGTTTCAACATTATGGTAAGGTCATATAGGTTTGTGAATGACGGCATCAGGTTGACAATTTGATCTTGCAGGTATTTTAGATAAGCACCCTGCTCAAATGGTAAGCTAAAACATGAAATCTTCTAAATTTCAAGGCAGATTCACGTGAGCTGACAATTATCAGGATCAAAAAGTATAAAATTTCATAACAACCTCATTACATTTTGTCATCATTGCTAACTCGCCACAAAGTTCGTGAATATCAGAGGTAGCCGCGAGGATCACCGTGAAATCCTAAGTTACACGCCCTGGGTAAGATATCTTGAATTTGCTCAGACCAATTCTAACAGCAATTTCTACTCTTGTAGCCGAGTGGAGATTTCCACGCCGATACATCATTCGAGATCAATCGTATGTGGTGAACAATATTCTCTGGCCATAAATCTCTAACACCTCATAGCACACCTACCTACTCCCTACTGAGAATGGAAGAACATCCCGAAGTTGGTGGCGACACAGCTTGGGTATGTTACAGATCCAGGTCGCATTCAAGACAAAATGTTGATTTCATAGGTATCTCAATATGGCTTATACGACGCCCTAAGCAACGCCTACAAAAGGTTTCTCGACGGCCTTCACGCCGTGCATACCTCAAGACTGCAGTGTTTGTTTCCTTTATAGCCATAGTAGCAAGTTTGCTAACATACATAGATGATACCATCATCGATCTATGGGGTGCAGGTCCCAATCGCCCTCCGATCGATACACACCATCCAGCCGTGCGCACGCACCCAGTCACTAAGCTGAAGGCATTGAACGTCAATCCTGGATTTGTGACTGGGTTTGCTGAGCTCAAGAAAGTGGAATCCGGTGAGTGAAATACCGAACGAATCGGTTTGTAATTTAGGGCTGATGCCTTTCTAGACAAAGTTCTCGATTTCTTGGCATATCATATCCACTCGGCTGATGATCACTCTGTTCGTTGGAAATGGGCTGTTGGTAGTGTTGCAATGTGGGATAATCGGTAACTATGCACTGTTCTCTTTGCTGCTTTGGAGTTGGGAACTGACGATCTCTTAGGTGTACCCTTCACCGGGTTATACCTGGTACATACAAAGGAGCTCGACAAGGTATCCGGACTACTGTTTTTGGTGAAATACGTGAGTACTCATATCAAAATATCTTAGTTTCCAATTCTGCATCTTATGCTAACTTTATACGGAAGCCTATCTTGATCCCACTAGTGAGAGCCGCGCGGAGCGGAAATTACGCGTGGAAAGCCAGAATGGTGAGGGTGTTCTCGCAGTTTGAAAGAAGAGTAAAGAACAGATGATTATTCACAGACTATACATAGGCTACTCATTGATTCATGAAGATTTTGTTCAAAAGGTGAGGGGACTTTTGTGTAGACGTCAACCCCGTGTCGTAAATAGATTAGATACTTTTTTCAATGACATTCAACAACTCCAACTTTTTATTTCGAAGCAACTGCTTCGGCGACAACAAATGTCTCCTTTTCAGAGAGACTAACGTTGTTTTGCTCCTCGTCTTGGGCTTGGGGCAACTCAGCAGTCTCCTTAGAATGCTCGATGGGAACGTGGACCCTGATAACGAGCCAAGTGGGCCACACCGCAAGAACTGGAACGAAAGTTAGCACTAATTCTTTATAATCAGTCAATGTGTATCACTTACCGAGAAGGATAGTGTTAACGATAAGTGGCACTCTTCCACCATGCCATTTTTTCGAGTTGAGACCGTAAGAAACAGCCTGTGAAAAGCTCTCCTGGCCACGGAGGATACCGGACAACCGGGCTATATGGTATCAGCAATCTGGAGATAGGACGATCGGTTTGGATCTTTGACTTACAGAGTTCGGAGATATTGTCGGTCATTGTGGAGAGAAGGTAGTAGAGGAAATTCTGCAGCGATTGCTGAGCGAATTCTGATGAAATAGGTTAGCACTATGTGGGATATAAATTAATCTACAAGACTCACCCCAGAGCAGGATAACGAAGAATCCTTCAACGAAGCCTTTGTCGGCCCAATCAAGCGTTGGTGGGTTTCTGGTGTACTTCTCTTGGATAACCCAACAGTAGACCCAGGCAGCGATGTGGACGATGATCACGTAGAAAAAGCTGTGGCTTGTTAGTATTGTCTCTAAGTTTGATTTTGGATGGTGTGATTTTGTACCTGTACTTGATTCTGTTTCTAATCGAAAGGCCGCGGTAGTCCAGGAATCTACTAATGATCGTTGACGCAAGAAGAGTGGCGAAGTAGGCTTAGTCCATGTTAGCACTGATGCAAAAGTGTGTCCAAATATTGTGAGTGTGTAAACATACTGACGAATCCAATCAGCGCGCGAGCGCGCACGCCAAAGTAGTACGTTTTGAAATCTGGACCAACTAATCAGCAATTGCATATAAGAGGAAACACACGATACATACTTCCGGTATACATATTGAAGTATGCGGCCCAGAAAACAAGCAATAGCAAAAGAATCTAGGAATGTTAGTCACATATAGCACATATGCACGATGGAACCGATGATCTTAAACATACCTCTCTCCGCTGGCAGACCTTCCAGAGCTCTTTCATTTCATCACGCCACGAGTCCTGCAGGATAATCCTAACTTTGCTTCCATCGGTGCGTTGGACCTTGTCGGGTGACGTGAGGAAGAAGGCTATAGGAACGGCAGTACATTGGAGAGCGACGAAGATGAGATACGTCTCTGTCTTGTGTTAGCAATGGTTTTATTCAATCTAGCTTGAATAAACCTACCAGATCCAACTTTTCCTTTGGCATGGGCATTGGCAGCACTTTCCAATCGTCAGTATATTATGTCCATAACGTGAATTCAAATTGGAATTAGACACACTGGTTGAGGCCAAGGACAATAGCACCTCCCAGTATCGGGCCACCTGTACGGAACCAAAGCCAGATGCTTTTTAAGTCAGTCTTTTTGTCACTGTAGGGTATTTTGAAATATCCCACTTCATATATCGGCCTCGCTTTGCAGGCTCGGGATAACCTAATGCCACAGCACCCTCAGAGGCCCAGAAAAGACCAGCGCTGTACACGTTAGTCGATGCTCTTGTTTCATTTAATTGGTATAGGATACTCACGATAAACCACAAAATACTGATCCAACCAGCACAAACCATACATTTCCCTACATGAGAATTAGTCTTCTTCCCTGGGTTATACAAGTTGACGAAGAACTCACAAAACGGTTGTTTGTGTACAAGACGGCACTGAATATAAAAGTCAGTCTCCAAATAACACAATTTCAGTCTTGCTCTCATGATACGTACGAATACAATGGATATCAGAGTCCATCTCAAGCCAATCCGGTTGGCAATTGGGCCACCGAACAGACACAAAATACCCACTAGCAAGCAAGTCAAGTCAGGTCAGCGCGAAGCCCGATTCAAATCCAATATGATTACAGCGACATGTCACATACTAAGACCGAAAACGAGCGCATTGGCAGCATTAATCAAGAAAGGCTCCTGCGCGCCGCCAGCACCCAAAGCATTCATGGCATTCCACAAGCCCGGGGCTGTGAATCCGACGGCTCCGATAATGCAGGCATTGAAGAGTGTTCCGCGATACCATACTCGCTTTTCAAATGGCGTATCGGACGATGCCGATACAGAACCTTGTTCGGCCATTATGTGGTTTAAGCTTAAAGGATAGTAAGCACGTTGATTCAAGCCACGAAGATAAAATTCTGACCTAAACACTAAACAAAAAACGGGAAACGCAGTATATATGGATTTTCTCTACCCTGAAGAAATCAAGTATCGATCTAGAAGATCTAATGTCGCATTAGCCCTATTTAGTCCTTTAGCACGATTGCGTGCTTTTGAAGTCCTGCGATCTAGTGCTTGTTGGGAGTAGCCCTGGCTGCCAAGTCAAAACTATGTAGAGTTCAGCCAATCAGCAGTACAGCGGGCGGATAATTATGGAGAATGAAGTGGAAAGTGCCGAAGCCAAATGTCGCTTCAACTGCCGCGATATCTGATTGGGACGACGGGCGGGATTTAGGGGTCCTGAGGTCTTGGCGCTGAGGTCTTGGCTGTGATAAGGAGAAGAAATTGGGTAAAATATACCGTCAAAACACAAATGGAGAAGATTTTTTTATTATTTCATGAAAAAGTCGTTACGTTATTGACATTCGCACATTTATTTTCCAGCCACCTGCTTGACCGCAGCGATGATATGCTCTGGTCCAAGGCCCTGAGCATTGACTTGCTGGTACAGACCACCGCAGCCCTCCTTGTTGGCACCCAGAGACTTAAACTTGGGGGTCAAATTGCGCTCAAGGAGTTGGGTACCCAGGCGAGAGCCGAGACCAGTCTTCTGCGCAATCGACTCAACAACCAGGACGAATGGCGAGGAGCCATACAACTTGATGGTCTCCTCATCGACAATGTTGAGAGTTGGCTTGTTAATCAGACCAACGTCAAGGCCCTCTGCACGCAGGTTCTCGACGGCATCAAGCGAGCGGTAGAGCATATCACCGTATGAGACGATGTAACCAGCGGAGCCCTTGCGAATGACTTCTTCCTTGCCAGGAACGAACTTATAGCCCTCTCCAAAGAGCCTCTGGTCGGTGTCCTCCTTCAAGATGTAAGGGACCTTGGAACGAGTGGAGAAGATGAAGCGCAGGCCCTTGTTCCAGAAGACCTCATTGACTACGGCCTTCATCTGCTCGCCATCGGCAGGGAAGTACAGGGTGGTAGTCTCGGCATCCATCAGACCATTGTCGGCGAAGAAGTGGTTCAGACCGAAGTGGCAGGTGTTGTCGGCCATCTCGTCGACGCCGCTGTGAGAGAAGTGCGACAGGACGGTGCAGTCGTTCAGGCGAGCCATGGTGATCTCGGAGATGCACATCTCCAGGAAGGCAGAGAAGGTAGAGAAGACACCTTGTCTCTCTCCATTGCTGCGGAACCCGAAGCCAGCGGCAGCAGAGAAATTGCCGCGCTCCATGACACCAGATGCGATAAAGGATTCCGGGTGCTTGGCGCCGATAGCCTTCAGGCCGGTGGAGCCTGCCAAGTCGGAGTCGATAACCATGACACGACGCTTAGCCTCCTCCTTGCTCAATTTGTCAAGAATATCATTCACGGCATCACCGAAAATGTTGCGGTTCGAACCCTTGTCCTTGGTCGAACCCTTGTACGTGTGGGGGTTTGAGCCAGGCTTGATATTGTCATAGAAAGCAAGCTGCTCCTGGCTATATCCGCGCCCAGTGAGGTATTTGCGAGCAATGTCGACGGGAATAACATCGTGCGCCTTACATTGTCCCTCAATTTCCTCAATTCCAGGGGCCATCTTGCGGTTGACAACAACAGCGGCGGGTCCGTCATGGTTGATGACTTCGCACATAGCGCCATATAGGGCGTCGATATTCTCGCCCTGGGCGCTAAGGACCTTCACGCCATGTCCTTTAAGGTTCCCAGCAACATCAAAGCCCTTGAGGTAATCCGAAGGGTGTCCAGCAATTGTGACATCGTTGTTATCGATGAAGAGCTTCACGTTCAGATTTCTAGCCACGGCAATGCGCGCTGCCTCATCATCGTTTCCTTCTTGCTGGGATCCATCAGAGCCCAACAGAATCACGTTTTTATCCTTGTTGGCCATAGCAATGCCGTTGACCATACCCCACATGTGGCCTAGACGACCGGAGCTGAACTTGATGCCGGGGGTGAGACCGAGCTCGGGGTGTCCGGGAAGGTGGGAGCCGGCAGCACGATATTCCAGCAGGTGATCAGGCTCAATCTTGCCGTCCAGCGCGGCCAGCAGGTATTGTGTGGCGACACGGTGGCCAGCCTCGTCATACAGAGCGTCAACCCATTTGCTGGGGTTCGCGTTTATGAAAGCAAGCAAGATGCAGACTTCTGGGGCTGTATCGAAGGGACCTCCAGTATGGCCCGAAACTCCACGGGCAGCACCCGTTGCTGTAAATGCAATGATGGCATCTCTGAAAATGTTGATGTTGTGTAGCAAGTCGCTCTTCTGCTGGGCTGATAGCTGTGCGGTCTTCGGGTCAAGCTTGAGTTGCTTGAACAGCTTCAGATCGACGGGGAATTTATTGCCGCTCATGATGTAGATTGATTATGAAGATTTATGTCTAGCAATGGAAGTTTGAAGGGCAGAATAATTCGGAGGAGGGGTTACATATATTAGAACTTGAGTGGCCTGTTCGCAGAATGTTGACGTCATCAGCACAGAGTATCTGCAGACGTGACCTGTTTTCAGCACTACACAACCTGCATTCCTCAACATCACCGAAGTTCCACTTACAAGTTCCACTTACAAGTTCCACTCGTCGCTCTAGATGGTTCGAATTATTTGCACGTTCTCATGGAATGATTCTCCCGTCCTAGCCGTGGCCCTGCACGTGGCTGCCTTTTACGGATGGTGATCTCCCTAAGCCAAGCCTTCCCTAATCGATCTCATTGTTTCGACTAGTACTATTGTGAATAGCATCAAAATTGGAGAATTAGATTTATCTTGGTTAATTGAGACGCCTGTACTAAATTTTCTCGTTTTGATCCCTTTGCTCTTCGTTGAGTATTGGACAGCAAGGGACATGTTTCCTACGACTTATACACTACTTCTTGCTTCTGCTTTGATTACAACTTCGCAGGTTGCCTTGATGGCTGTCACTTCGCCCCTCTCATTCCGGTAATCACCACTTCTACAACGCCCCATCCTATTGTTTCATGCCGTTTCCGGGCAACCCCACCCCGAATAAGCAACATGACCGTTGAGCCAACCCATTGTTCAGTACTCTGTGGCACAATGGCATTTGAAAAAGCCGTCGAGAATGCGGGGAAAGGTATTCCAAGCAAATAACCTGGAAGCAACTACCCTCGAATTAGCCATTTCCCCGAGATAGCCAAGACAATACAAGCTATCGGGGACCCGTCGGCGAAATGTGGCGTGCATTAGTCGGTGATACTGTAGTATTCTTCATCAGCTTATGCCGAAATTGAGGGAAATTCAGGGTCTTAGGCGTTTCAGCTTACTTTCCCCTCGACCGATTAGTCGCATTGCTCTTTTAGGGAAATGGACGGGTACAGTCTGATCAATATTGTCTTTGATGGGTACATATAAAGACAGTGCATCCCTATACCTGATGATCATCAATTCCCACCTCTACCCCTCGAAGAAAGACTAAGACTGGCTTTCCCTAAAATCCTCCTGGGACCAGTATACAACATGCTTCCGTCTCTTCTTCCTCTGTTCCTGCTTTCGTTGCTAGCAGAGGCGTCACCCGGAAAACGAGCCACCACTGCATCGGCCTACTGTTCAAACTCAAATGGCAATTACAAGCTCTCGTCAATCTCCGCACCCGTTCAAGGCAGCGGCAGTCCAGGCTCCGAATCGACCTGGCAGCTGAGCGTCGATGATACATCTAGCGGACACAAACAAACAATCGTGGGCTTTGGAGCCGCTGTCACCGATGCCACGGTTACCTCCTTCAACACCTTGTCTAGTTCCACACTTCAACAACTGCTCAATGAGCTGATGACCGGTGCCGGTGCTGGATTCGCCTTGATGCGCCATACCATTGGCGCTTCCGACCTGTCTGGTGACCCTGCGTATACCTATGATGACAATGGGAATAATGCAGACCCATCTATGTCCGGTTTTAACCTAGGCGACCGTGGAAGTGCCATGGCTACGATGCTGGCTAAGATGAAGTCCCTTCAGTTGAATTTGAAAACTCTTGGTTCGCCTTGGAGTGCCCCCGGGTGGATGAAGCTGAACGGTGCGATTGATGGCAACACGAATAACAATAACCTCAATGATGGCTACTTGACTAGTGGAGGCACTGGGAGTACTGGGTATGCTAGTGCCTTTGCGCAGTACTTTGTCAAGTACATCCAGGCTTACGCGAATCTCGGCGCCCACATCGATGCGATTACCATTCAAAACGAGCCTTTGAACAGTCAAGCTGGATATCCTACAATGTATGTTTTTGACTATGAGTCTGCGCAGTTGATTCAAAATTATGTCGGACCGGCTCTCGCTCAAGCCGGCCTGAACACCGATATCTGGGCATATGATCACAACACTGGTATGTACTTGACAATCCGGGATCTATGAGATAGGATTCTATTTACTAACGCATAGACATTAGATGTTCCATCCTATCCTCAAACTGTCATCAACGGGGCTAGCCAGTATGTCCACGGAGTTGCATGGCACTGTTATGCCAGCAACGTAGACTGGACAGTCCTCACCCAATTCCACGAGACAAACCCCAACGTCAAGCAATATATGACAGAATGCTGGACTCCCGCATCTGCCGCATGGAACCAAGCCGCCGATTTCACCATGGGGCCTTTGCAAAATTGGGCATCGGGCGTCACTGCCTGGACACTTGGCACAAATGATCAAGATGGTCCTCATCTGTCGAGTGGTGGCTGTGCAACCTGTCAAGGTCTGGTAACCATTGCCAACAGCGGATATACTTTCAACCCGGCATACTATATGATGGCTCAGTTCAGCAAGTTCATGCCGCCGGGTGCCATTGTGCTAAGTGGTACTGGTAGCTACACATATTCCAATGGAGGAGGTGTGCAATCCGTTGCCTCGCTGAACCCGGATGGAACTCGCACTGTTGTTATTGAGAACACGTTCAGTAACGATATTTATATTCTTTTGTCCACTAACAGTGGCCAGGAGTGGAGTGGCAACGTTCCGAGCCAGTCTGTGACAACCTGGGTGCTTCCCGCGGCCTGAGTGAGATGATTGTGACTGGGATGCGAGAATATTCAAGAATTAGCTATGCGATCACATTCTCAAATATACAAAGTTTGATACTTTCATCTTCGATCAACATAAGCTATCTAGCTCCTCCTACTCGAGATAGACTGAATATTATGGATTCACTTCAAGCTAGGAGATATCAATCTGGTAGTGCATGCGTAGTGAGTGCATGGGGACTTCAATATGACCAAACCCCGAACCCCGTACCTTTATACGAGACCGTCATAGGCGGCCAATCCCCTCACATTGTTCCCAATCCCATTCCCGAGGGTTTCTTCTTCTTCTTTTCATCAGCCGCATGCGCTCTGTAGTCAATTACACTGAACACGCGACCTATTCGACTTTGCTTTTTGTCCCAAAATGGCCATGCAGTCCACGTCAAAATAAGCCGACAATTCCCCAGATTATGATAGCATCCAGCCCCGGCCGCGCGGGGCTGTTATTGAATGCATACGGACCCCAGCAGGCCTAAACGTAAGCCGATCTCACATGAATCTCCATGGCTTTTGTCGATCTTTTTCTTATTTTTGTTTTACAGAAAACATGTAGGACTTCGAAGATCCTCTATAAATAGATCCTTCCATTTGCGCCGCCGCGAGCTACTGTTTTTCTTCCCATGATCGGCAAGAAAGAATAAAAATCGAGGTCATAGCAGATAGCAGTTGAGTAAAGCTCTTTATTTGCAAGTTGTTACATTATTTTAGCTCTCTCAATGGTGTAAGAGTACTTCCTTGGGGTTCTCTATCAATTTCATATGGATCGGCTGTGCAGCTGCTATGCATAATTCTCTCACTACAACTGGACACCGCATATGCAGGTATCCGTTGTTTGTGTTGTTGTCTCCAGGGCTGGTATTAGATGCATTCAGACATCTGAGTCATAGAGTCCGTTGCTTTTTTTGCAGATCGCTCGTATAAGACGGCTATGGCTTTTCTTTTCGAAGATGTGGTTCCGCCACAATCATCGGAACGGCTACAGGCAGCTTTCCTGATCCCCGATTTATGGGCAATAAGACATGCTTTTCTTTCGAATTCTTCATGTTGTAGATAAATTTCGTGTTATGGGTATTTAATCCTTGAATTGCATACTCCGTATGGTCTCAGAAGTTCCAAAGATCTCTACGAGCCAGGTATCAGTCATTCAAAGGGGTCTAACGGGAACTTGCAGCACAAGGCCCCAGCCCAATTCCAATTGCGACTCAGACCCCGGGATACTCGGGATCAACCAAAATACTTTAGGCAAAGAGAACAGAAAACAGGTAGAGTGGCATGTAGAGCATGGCCAATGAGACACAAAGTATACATTTCAAAAAAAGCAAAAAGCCTACCGAGCACTCAATTGGGCTTACTACTTGATGATCCCAAAATAGCCGTCCGTTCACTTTAGAATCTGAAGATCTGTGTCTACTGGTATCTACCAATGCCAACTCTATCCTCAGTATCGCCAAGGCTGACATATACGTAAAACTCGAGGATTATTGCTAGTAATCTGAACTGAAGGATTGCATATTTACCTTGCCAGCATTATAGTAGAAGACCACATATTTTGAATCACTAAATTCAAGATATAAAAGTCTGCGGGTGGTCATCAACCTCGGTCGGTCAAGTCTAACTCCAATTCTATACCTCACCGAAGAAAGCCAATACACCCTTCTAGCACTCAGAACCATCAATTTCATTCCAGGATGAAACTATTTATCCAAGGCACTGCAATCCTCGCCCTTCTTATAGCCAATGCATCGGCCGCACAGAGTGGCATTTTTGCCGCAAATGGCGTCGAGCTCGAAGTTTACCAATCCGGCGAGGATATCATCTACGGAGAGCCTGTGAGTCTTTGATCCTTTGAACCTACTATACGTGGTAACTAACTCCATACAGCAAAGCTTAGTCCAGGTACATTACCGACTAACCCCATTGTGAAACAAGGTCATTTTTTAACATTTTCATTTTAGGCGAGAGATCTTGAGGGCCGAGCAACCAATGCGTGCACCAAATGTGTGGGCCACCATGGAAGCTGTGTTGTTGGCGAGGGTAACTGCTATGCTCCTGATACATGTGCATTCTGTGGTGGTTGTTCTGTCAACCAGGCTCGTTGCCAGAACCCCAAGAAGGAAGGCTGTCAGTGCTATACATGATCATTTGAGTGGATCGAGCACAAACTTGAGAACCAGGGTTTCGCTTTCGTTCAGCTTAGTGCTGGTTTGCTTCTCTCCTGGCAGTAAAGGACTCTTATTGTCTTTTCCTCTCTTGTCAATAGTCCTCACTTTCCAATACACTCATACTGGATTGGTTCATGCTGTATGGTCTCATCTACTATCCTCCACTAGTACATTACACAAATGTATAGACCTCCATTTCGAGAGAGAGAAGTAATTCCAGCCAATCTAAGCCAAAGATTTGTATTTGACTATTGAACCCAGATTAAATAATAAAAGCTTCACCCAAATATATACTCCCACCACCCCTTCTTCCACGTCCGCCCAAACCGATGATTGACACATGCGTCAGGATGATTAAACCCTCCCGCCTCACTATGTCTCTGCCCATTCCCCCAAACACTGATTGGCAATACACACAATCCACCCATGGATTCTTTCGTGACAGCCTCACCAGCCTGAATGCAAACAGGGTCACGAAGTCTATGAAACGGAGCCCACGTTACCCGTTTCTGCAACTCCCCAGTTTCAGCAGAGACGAGATCCCCTATATCTGCATCTGCGTCGACAGATTGTTGAATGAACGGATGAGTCGAAGGAAGCGAGGAGGAAAGTGTATCAAGAATCGCATCCGTGAAGACATCAGGCCCCGTGACTCCTAATATAGTCTTCTCGTCATACGCCAGACTGGGGAAGAAGCTGGTATGTTCACCATTGTATTGCCTAGTATGTGCCAGCACCCGCACGATGGCTTCGCGGAGAAGCGGGCTGAAGCGTCGTGGTGCATACATCGTATACTGGATCAGTCCGTAGCTCCTTGTCCAGTGCCAGTCGCGCATGAATTCTGATGAAGCGTATGGCTCGTCGACTTCAATTCCAACAACGAGCGATACATCGGGATGGGTACTCTTTGTGTATCCGTCCGGTGTGAGTCCGAAGAAAGGCTCTAGTGCTGGGCATGCTTTGATGGTCCGAGCGGGGAAGACATCGATGTCTGCGTAGAAGCCTCCGTAGTACCAGAGAAGGAGGTATCTGAGGAGGTCTGCTCGGAGGATATTTTGAGGGTAGGATTTGTATATGGTTGCGATTTCGGGGATGGCGGATAGCTCGTTGGTCACAAACTCGACGGCCTTTTTATCAGTGACTAACTTTGTGGTTTTCAGTCAAAGTCGAGCAAGGATCCGGCCAAAGTACTTACAGTGTATATCCAGTCCTTATTTCTCCCTTTGAATACTATTGAGTCCTCCCCCCTATCCTTTTGACTCTTCGCTATCTGCCAGATTCTATCTTTGGATATGTTGCTTTCCTCACTTTGTGTCAATACGGCTTTTTCAATCTCCTCCAGCGCATTTGATAGCTGTTGCTCATATTGAATATCCGGATTGCTTCGAAAGGGAGAGTGGTAGATAAATCGGGCCGTGTCCTCTACTCGATGCTCTGGGGGTGGTCGGTCTGCGCGGGTATTGTTCTGGGTGGAAGGCGGAGCTGGAAGATGATAAAAGAGGAACCATATCAGGATAACAAATAATATACAAGATCCACGACGAGTAAAGTATCTAGATGCCTGCACCTTGATTCTTCTAAGGCTCATGATGGTAGTGGTAGTGAAAAGGGAAACCGCAAAAGAAACGGTGAGTTGAAGGGTGGTTCGAAAAAGATTGGAATAAATCACTGCCAACTCATACGGAGAAATGACATATAGAGCAAGCTCAAAGATTGTATGTTTGAAGTGACAGTCATGGAATATGGCAAGGGTAAGAGAGAAAGGAGAGAAAGAGAAATCAGAATAGCAAAGAAAAGGAAGGTTGTATCAGGCCAAGGATTGAGTATATGACCGGAGCCCCTGGGTTTTATGCAGTCTTTGACACATTTCAGGATCAAAGCCTCGACGTTGTCTCCAATTTCCTCTTAAAATATAAACCACTTTGCGGTCTAATTCCCTTTGTTTGAAAAGGGCCCACTTCACGTCGATCCTCCAGCGCCATACAAGGATATCCCTGTTGAAGTTCACATCGGACGCACATATTCGCCTCTACCAGGACTATGATGTACTTTTTGTATATCATACCTTTCTCCTCCTTCCCAGGGCGTGTTGGGTGTTTCTTAAATCCTCAGTCTACCCGCTCATAAACCACCTTTGAGCTTTCCGTCTTCACTGCGTAGGTACTTCTCGACAAAATTGGCAAATGAGGGTTAATAAGTGAGAGAGAAAAGAAGTCGGTTGATTCCTACAGCTCGCTAAGGAAGAAGACCTCGATCACGTGGCTGATTGCCCCCTGTCTCCTTCCCGTTTCTCACTTCTCCTCCGAGTAGACACGGATTTCTATATTTCCTTGTCCTTCTTGTTATAGATATCCAACGTCAATTTCTTGGTGTGCACTGGGTCTGGGGAGGAGGCATCTCCTTCGTCTATGAGGTTCATCCTCTAATCGTGGTCAAGGTTCCTAAGTCCGGCGAGGAAGAGAGAGAGCAATTTCGCAAAGAACTCAAAATCTACGAGATTCTATCCCGGCATCCACCATGTCCCTCCATAGTGCAGTGTTTCCTCTATACAACAAACGGGATCTTCCTCGAGTATATGAGAAGTGCGGCCCTATTGGTATGCTAATAACATACAGATATATCAACTGACTGCATTACTAGATATATCCCTCGCTTATAGGAAATAATTCAATCTTATTCGGGATCACAAAACTTGTGTGGTTACTCAAGTGCTAAAGTTGGAGCCCCTGCCACTGCGAAAGTTATGTTAGTAGATACACTTACGCTTATAGGGCACTGATCTCTTATGCACCCAGGGATGAACAATCTTGCTCAAGGTGTTGCTTTTCTTGCATCACTTAACCTCGCTCATGGTAACCTGCGACCAGAGAATATCCCGCTCGATCGTAATCGACTAAGAATATCTGATTTTGATTGTACAGCCGAGTTCGGAACAGATTTCGAAACTTGCCCTTGTCCGTACGGAAGACTACTTAATAGTAACGAAGCAGACCAAGGAATAGCAGGAACTACCGGCTTTCTAGGTTCTCGAACAGAGCAGTTCGCCCTCGGTTCGCTATACTATTTGATCAACTATGGCTTTGAGGTTTATGGCAATCAATGTCTTGGCGATGATCCTTACGAGCATGGACCCAAGGTCATGGACTTACTCCAGGACATGAAATTCCCGAAGCTCGATCGTGATCCGCTGATTGACGATATCATCGACAAGTGCTGGCACAACCAATATCGCACGCTTACGGAATTGACCACACATACGGTGGCGTTACTTAAGGAACCAATCAGCAAAGCACCCAACCACGAAGCAACCTCCAGCCTCGAGGGCCAATTGTGGACCAACTGCGAGGTAATCAATAGTGACGGCAATTACAGTGTGGATCAGGACCACTCCTTTGAGCCTTTCTCTTCGAAAAAGGATTTCTGCCAAGACTTGGAGAAGCGTGGACTCCTTCGCCTACTTATTTCGGGTAAGCCCATGGAGCTTGGATTCAATATGGAACATAGGCACGTGCTATCAAATACACTGACGAATTGAGAGGGACATGAGACTACTATGGAAGGACCTTGGGGATTTCGGATTCTGTTTTTGGCTAGGGCTGGTTGATAGTAATTCAAGTGTATACAAGCTAGCACTCGGAGTGGCTAGGCCCAGAGAAGGCTTACTTGACATGATGTATTGGATTTGTGAAAGGAGCAGCATGTATCCTGTTAAATGCTACAGGATGCCCTTGGAGAAGAAAAAGAGACTGGCAAGGTCATTTGATCGAAGGGTATGGCGTATTGAGCCGCTAAACCGGAAGCGGTAAGGCTAACCTGAAAAAGGCAATTCACAGAGAATTCATTGGTCCGCCGTTACAATACAATACGCCAACTCATACAGTCACACCGCAAAAAGGTTAACGCCTCGGTTGATATTCTACTCCGTACGAGTAATTGTTGTACGGAGTACTAGCAATTCGATTCTCTATCAGTCGAAATTTGGAAACAACGGCCAGTATACCCATATCAGAAGGCAATGCAAATATGAGTCAACACTTTTTCTGAGTCACTGTCAGCTGATACAAAAATACCAAATCCCCCCCCGCACTTCCCAGGGTGGCCAAGTGGATATTCACATTTAAAGTGGCACATACCCCTGTTCATGAATCACGTGATCTTGAAGCCATTTTGCGGGGAAACGACTGATTGAATTCTAAGCATGTAGTCCTCCGTGGGAAGGGCGAATTAAGATTTGAAAGATGAAAGCTATATACACCTGGCTACTGCCGAGGTTCTGCCAGTCATCAAAAAGGAGCTAGAAGTGCAAAGTGAAAATTTAATAAACTAAAAAAACCAAAAAAAACTAAAATCGCGGAATGCATATCGGCGCCGAGATCGGGGCCTCGATCGTCCGGGGATATCTCCAGGGATGATTCACCCTGTGACTCGAATCTTTTTAAGTCGCCAGGATTGACCACTCGCTCTTTCAGCTTTGCTTTTCCTCTCCGTAACTCCGGAAGTTACCCCACGTTTGAGACTCGGCATCGAGCGTAGCACCTCGGTAACATCCCTGCATTGGCGAGCTGCGCTTGAGAATTCGAGCCTTAAAAGTCAAAATTTCCCTCTTCCCTTCAATCTTCCCCATTATTATTGTCTTTCCAAGCAGGCGCGCAGTGTCATAGCGCGATTCGCATCTCATCATGGGTGTCACAGGTATGTTCAACCCTATACATATACCCTGTCCTTTTTAGGGTTTGGCCAGTCCGCTTGCGCCAGCACATCCTTGTCAACACATGCTGACCGTAAGGTACTCCCCCCGCGCAGAATCACCCCGCTATAGCAAAGAGCACATCGACACGGCCGAAAGTCAGGTCAGTTCCCACACGGACGGCGATCTGCCTCCTCTCACGACTACCACCGCGCGCAAATTGCAAGCCAAGGTCGATTGGCACATCCTACCCTGTCTGTGCATCTTGTATCTGCTTGCCTTTTTGGATCGGTAAGCTGACCATTGTGTATCTGTGTGACCAGGTGTTGCTTATATCTGACATCATCGACCTGCAGAGTTAATATTAGCAATGCTGCTATTCTCGGACTCAAGAAGGATTTGGACATCGTCGATGGAACGAAATATAACACCGCGCTCACAATTTTCTTCGTTCCGTATATTATCTTCGAGATTCCGTCAAACATCTTGCTCAAGAAGTTGAAGCCCCATGTCTGGCGTAAGTGTTTTGGTCCTTTTGCGCCCTGGGATTAGGGGCAATTTTGAGGGCAGCTTGCTAATTCGGAATTAGTGTCGGCATGCATGTTCATGTTTGGCTTGACCTTACTCTTCCAAGGTCTGGTAAAGAATTGGGGTGGACTGATGGCTACTCGGTTCTTTTTGGGTGTCTTTGAGACGGGCATGTTCCCTGGATGTAAGAGCAAATGACAACAGTAAATCCGAAGACAGGTGCTGATTGTGATCGCCAGGCTTCTATTTGTTGGGCATGTGGTACACACGCTCTGAGGCTCAAAAGCGTTTCAGTTTCTTCTTCAGCTCCACTTCCCTGGCCGGCGCCTTCGGCGGTCTGCTTGCCAGTGGAATTGCAAAGATGGACGGCATGCGTGGCTACAGTGGCTGGCGCTGGGTGTTCATTATCGAGGGCGTTTTGACCAGCGTGGTAGCGATCATCCTGTTCTTTTTCATTGCTGATTTCCCCGAGGATGTCAAGTGGCTGAATGAGGAAGAGCGCACATACATGCGTGCCAAGTTGGCCAAGGATGTCGGCAAGGCTGCTCACAACGTTCACTTGGGCAAGCGTGAGGTCCTCGGTGTGTTCAAGGACTGTAAGTATAGCCCGAGAATCCCTGTTGCATTCAGTTGCAGTGCACTGACTTTCCCAGACAAGGTCTTTATCGGAGGATTCATGTACTTCGGCTTGATTGTCCCGGCTTATGGTACGTAAAACATTTCCATCTTCCGTTAAGCGAATTATCGCTCACTCTCATACAGGATATGCATACTTCGCGCCGTCGATTATCCAGACCTACGGCTATAGTTCGATCAAAACACAACTGTACTCCATTCCTCCCTGGGCTGCAGCATTCGGCTTCTCAATGGTAGTCGCCTTTTGCTCTGACCGAATGCGACACCGATTCGCTTTCACCTTGATTCCAATGGCGATCGCCCTTGTCGGATTTATTATGCTCATGACAATCCACAACAATACTCATGCCCAATATGGCGCTCTATTCCTGCTCACCTCTGGCTGTTACAGCGCCATGCCGGTCATTGTATGCTGGTTTGCCATGAATTTGGGTGGTCATCATCGACGCAGCGTGGGAACCGCATGGCAGGTTGGCTTCGGCAACATCGGTGGAATCATCGCTACTTTTTCTTTTGTCGTAAAGAATGGTGTCACGGATTTCCGAACCGGGTATATCATATGCCTCTCATTCATTTGCCTCGCTGCTCTAGCATGCACGAGCTACATGGCATCCCTGTGGTATGAGAACAAGAAACGTGACCGCGCCGCGGTTGATCCTGCTACGATTCCCGACGACGAAGAGGAATATCTCGGCGATTTGGCGCCCACATATCGGTACACGTACTGAGAAAATATCCAGGTTGGATAGCTGCTTTCGTATGACGGACGTTTTTTCATTTTACTTTTGTGGGTCTCGTCATGCGGATCTTGCAAAACTCCATGAGTGATGACGATTCTGGTATATTTATTTAACGAACATACGGTTGGCTCTATTTGGGAAACATTCGCATCAAAAGTCTTTATTTCGGAGCTATATGATGGTTACTTGATATACTATTCAATAATAGTAATGGCATTGCTCTTCTCGTGAATTTTTAATTGTCCCAACGATATTACCTTGAAATCCTCGCTCGTACTTCGTATGACATCAATTATTTTCAAATGGTCTGTAATCTTAAACTCTTCTATGGAGGGAAACCCTATCGAATTTCCTAATCGGGCATAGTCATGTGTCGTCACAGATGGAAGCTTGAGGTGTCACGTGTGTGACCTAAGCGAGCGCGGCTGAGTCAGCCGCACCATACGTAAATGCGTCTCGGGCCGCCCACACTTCATCTTTCTTTCTACTATCTCTGTTTCATCCTCGAAATCGTAAGTAGCTTTCCCGAAGCTTATGTTTTCCTCGAGCGCAATGCACTAACCAGTCAACAGTTTGAAGATGAGAGCTAAGTGGAGAAAGAAGCGCACACGTCGTCTCAAGCGCAAGCGCAGAAAGATGCGTGCCAGATCGTAAGTCATTCCATTATGCGCCGATGGTCTTGTGAAGGCCATTGAGCTTCCGATCGCCGAACCAATATGCTAATTCCCAAACCAGCAAATAAACTACTCGCCCCCTCCATCTCAGCCCTCCTTGCTCGAGCTCATGTTTGAACGCTAAACACGACAACTGACGACGCGATTGCGACCTTCGTTTCTTCGCGGCACGCCCCTCATTCCAACGAGTTACCTGCACGGATACGATTTCCGGCCTGTCTTCAAGACGAAATCGCAGATCGAATTGATGGAATCCGCTGTTACAACAACAGTCTACCCACATTCCAACACCTCGGATTCATTTACGTCTACGATCTGATGTCATGCATGGTTAATACTCCGAGGGGCTCCTGTGTTTAGGTGGATGTTGGAGGGCCGGTGCAAACCATCGGTCTTTGAGCACGGCATTGGGGTGACTGGTCAATTCTCATTATCTTTACGGCCTTTCTTCGGGCTGGTCAAAAGTTGTGGAGAGGTTTCTTCCGGGAGTTTATCAAAATCCATGGAATAGCTCGGAGGTCTTGGTTTAGCTACTGCAGATGAATCGATGACTTGATGAGTGCAACATTTCTTACTCATTGTAGATGTAAACGTGTAAACTGGAGCTTAGCTACTACTAGTAGCTATTTTCAAATGTTCGTAGCTCTCTTTATATCACCGTCGCGATCGCTCCATCTACGTCAATATTCCTTTGTGTGCGGTAAGCCGTAGTCTCACCGCCTGCCAGGTCTCCACTCGTAAAAATTTCTGCCCGACAAGTCCAGACATTTTATTTCACCGCGCTAGAGCCGATTCTCGAGAGCTACAATCTTTGTCTCTCGTCTTTAACGCCATAATGCCGTCCAATAAAACAGATCACAAGCGGAAGCGCTCATCAGGCAATGATCGCCCAAGCAAAAAGCCCGCGCTGCAGCAGCTGCCCCCGCTGGCCGCCAGCGTTGTTGAAGATAAGAGCGAGCTGGCACCGGTAATTGGTGAGTCGAAGGCTTTCATCCAGGCTGTAAACCATCGCTAATCGAATTCTTGCGTTACAGCCGACACACCTGGTCTTCAAAGCTCGAAATCCCTCCACTGGAACCCATATATCAAAAACCGCGCCAATGTCTCCAAGTCTGCGGCATCGACTCGGAACCCGGGCATTGTCTCTTCGGAGATACTGCTCCAGTCCTCAGACCACTCTAAGTTGGACTTTGTTGGCCGTGAAGGTACAGGAGATGATACCGACTCCCAAGTGAAGCACTACGTCGCAGTTATAGACCCAGAGCGCAAGACATGGAAGGTCGTGGAGGTGCGGCGAGCGACACTGCGAGGAGCAGTGAGAAGCCGCAAGCCCGAGGAAGACTCAGATGAAGAGATGGTATGTTCTTCGATCCGCAAACCCATACATCAATGGCATCCAACTAACAACCAGCACCAGAACACTATGCGCGCCCAACGCACAGCTCTCACAAACACCTTCGGAACCAAACAATCCCGCAAGGCCGTGCAATCCATGGCCGAGAACGCCCAGCTCTCCAACGCCCCCACCGGCGCCGTCCCCCAAGCCGGCGCAGCGCTCATCTCCTCGCTGCCCGCAAACACAGCCTCCGGCCTCGCTAAGGCCCTCGCCATGCAAGCCGAAGTGCAAGCCGCCAAGCCCCTCCCAACCCCGAACCTAGCCGTCTCGCACCCCTCCGACGTCTACACAATCGAGACGCTCGTTCCAGGCAGCCACTCAACCCTCGGCCAACTAAACGGCGTGGACGAGTGGAAGTCACAAGTGGAAGCCGGTCTCGGCGTGACAACCGTCTCACGCTACGTCTCGAACCGCGTCGGTGCAGTCGTCAACTCCGAAAACATAACCCACCTCCAAGTCCTCCGCTTCATCCAGCTGCTAATCGAGTTCGGACGCTGTCTCAAAAACGCAGGCGCGAACGCCAAGGGCGGCGGCCCAGGCAGCAAGCGTCTCCCACCCCGCGAAGACCTCCGCCGCATCCTGTCAAACACCACGGGGTCCGTCACGAAGCCCAAGCCCGGCGCCGCTGCACCGGACGCCGCTTCCGTAGACCTGCTTCCGGAGTCCGTGATCGATGCCGTGCGTCGCCGCTTCGCACCCAGCGGCGGCTACGTCTCCAAGAACGACTTCACCCTCCTGCAAACTACCATCTGTGCGCTCTCGCTGCATATCCCGCCCCAGCCGGCACGCGACGGTGGCTCCAGCTCGCTTGGTGGTAATGCGCCCAACGAGCTGGCGACTGATCCTTCGGATCTGCGTGATGATCTGCGTCTCGATCCGAATACTATTCACCAGTACTTCCGTGAACTTGGTTGTCGCATTGATAAGCCGCGTGAGACGGAGTTCGCGAAGTGGAATATTAAGGGTGGACGTGCGGAGGCGCATGCGCGTCGTGTTGCTCGCTTGCGCGTGCCTGTTGAGTTCCCTAAGGTTAGCCGTGGTGGTCGGAGGTAGGGAGGTTGATTGGTTTGTAGGTCTTGAGTTGTCAGGCTTCCTTGGATATATGGCGCTTTGTGTTTCAAAAATTGTTACTTCTACCTGTTTCTATATCAATGAGACATTGTTACATAGCCAAATGAATTTACTTGGTCTTTTTCCTTTGATTTTTTATGAATTTTTGGCCCTCTTTGTCTGATCGTTGGGATTTATACAAATTGTTATAATATTTCACTACGCATATATCGCACTAGGTATATAGCAGGATTTAAATTGATGAGCCCGGTTTTTCAATTGGCTTTTTATCTAAAGACTTTGTTTGAAGTCCTATTTGAAATTGCTTTTTTGGTATTGAGGGGAGGCAGTTCAAATCCCAGGCGGGTATATATATATCAATGCCGTAAATATGAACCGAAGGCCATTTCCATAGTAGCACTTACAATTACAACATACATACTACACAAGCCGAAGCTTACATGAAATGCAAGGAGAATACCACTTCAACTCTGTTCATTCCAACCTGTCACACTTGAGCCCAATAAATGACACTCGATCGATATAGATGCAAACAGGATATCCGACATTCGTCTTGGTCCTGCCAACCAAATCAATGGCATACATCAACAAAAGCGCAATTAACGGCCAATCCAAGCTGTAAGATGACTACATCATTTGAACAAAAGCAGACAGTTGGTATGACATGAATATGTGGTATGTTGAAGACGGATGCATATGTCAAGTTATGTCCGTACGATACAATATTATAATAAATGAATGGACGGGAATAATGTAGCTATTACCCCAAAAACCGAGAAGCGTAAAAGACGGGGTTCGTCTGCTCTAGGCAACCACACCAACGGGAGTGGAGTTTACTGCCGAGTAAGCCTTCTCGGTCAGAGGGGTAGCAGCCTTCAGGGGAAGCACGGTGGTCTGGGAAGCTGCGTCGTTGAACTCACGAGCAACAGCGGTCTCGAGGGTCTCACCAGCCTTCAGGCCCAGCTGGGCGTCCTCCCAGATGGGCAGGTTGGCGGCCTCGGCACCTTCAACGCCAACGCCAACGAAACCGCCCTGTCGCTTCCAATCGCTGGTGCGCTTGAGGCCTAGGTCGTTCCAGACGGCCTGCACGGCCTGCACGAGGTGTTCGCGAAGGTGCTTCACGTGGCCTGGGGTTGGGGTGATGCGCAGACGCTCCTCGCCGCGGGGAACGGTGGGGTAGTTGATAGCCTGCACGTAGATGTCGTGCTCCTCCAGAAGTTTGTCGGAGGCCAACTTGGCCAGCTCGGCATCACCGACCAGGAGGGGCACGATGTGGGAGGGGTTGGGGATGACAGGGATATCCAAATCATTGAAAGCGGCCTTCACTGCACGGGTGTGGAGTTGTTGGAGAATTCGGTCCCGGGGTTCCTGGGACTGGTACTGGATAGCGGCATCCGCACCAGCCATAGTTGCTGGTGGGAGCGAAGTAGTGAAGATGAAACCGGGAGCAAGGGAGCGGATGGTGTCCACCATAGCTGCCGAGCCTGCAATATATCCACCGACACAGCCGTAGGCCTTGCCCAAGGTACCGGTGATGATGTCAATTCGGTCCTGGACTGTGCCCTTGGTGCTTTGAGGGGTGGCTGTATCCTGCGATGCATACGCATCGTAATCGAGGTGCTCGGCAACTCCAGCTCCGTGTGGGCCGTACATGCCTACAGCATGGACCTCATCCAAGAAAGTGATGGCACCGTATTTTTCGGCGAGATCACAGATTTTTTCAATGGGCGCAATTGATCCGCACATACTGTAGACGGATTCAAAGGCAATAATCTTGGGGGTACCAAGTGGCAACGAGGCCAACTTGGCTTCAAGGTCTTCCATATCGTTGTGCTTGAAGACCATCTTCTTCGCGCCAGAGTGGCGAATACCCTGAATCATCGAGGCATGGTTGAGGCTGTCCGAGAGAATGACACAATCGGGCATCTTACTACCAAGCGTTGCCAGGGTTGCATCGTTAGCCACGTAGCAGGAGCTGAAGACCAATGCGGCCTCCTTGCCATGCAACTTGGCAAGCGTTTCCTCCAGGGCGATAGCATGCTGGTTATGACCCGAGATATTGCGAGTGCCACCTGCACCGGCTCCGTAAGTGTCCAAAGTCTTGTGCATGGATTCCAAGACCTGCAGGTTACGGCCCATGCCCAGGTAATCATTTGAGCACCAGACAGTCACACGCTCCTCAACCGAGGCAGTGTGGGCTCGGGGGAACTCCTTGGCGAGACGGTTGATGTTGTTGAAGTAGCGATAAGACTTGTCCTTGTGCTTCTTCTCCAATTCCACGTTATAGAAACCGTCGTAGTTGAACTTTTCGTTGGTTGGCGCTTCCGGGCGGGGACCGCGGACTGCGGCCCCGGCGCTGGCGCTGGCGGCGGTAGGGGACGAGCGGAGAGGATTGGCCAAGGTAGGGTTTCCTCGATCATTCTTCTCGTATCCGCCAGAGGCGAGACTGGCGGGATGACCACCGGTGGTATGCAACGCCCGCTTGCCAGTCGGAACCCGCATAGGCTGGATGGAAGCGACTCCCGCAGCGCGCGAGGTGAAGCGCTTGGCACCACTGAGACGAGCGCTCTGCACAGCCAGAGCCTTGCTCATGACTGGGCATCGGCGACCAAGAACCTGCAGGTTAGACATGGTTCCACCTCCCGGGCTAGTGCAGGGACGAGTAGCGGTTGAGAGAGTGCGGAGGGTGGCGGGAGATGTGCGCTTGAGGAAAGGGCACATAGTGCGAGACTGTTGCAAAAGAGCCTCCATGGTTGAATTGAGCCAAAGAGATGAGGAGAAAAGGAAGCGAAACACAAAAATCCCCGTGAGTTTAGGAGATTGTACAAGTTAACATTGTTGAGAGCTGGCGGAACCAGAGGGAAAATCAATTGGGGCTGCTGACTGATCCGGATGGCTTACATATGAAAGACTCCGATTGGTCTGCCGAGGCAAATCCCGAGGTACGGATGTTCCTTCCCGATGTGCCTCACTACCGCGGGCTTTGCGGGAGACGGCAACTTGTGTTGCAGTCAAACCCCGTCAGCATAGAAGGCCGTTATCTTTTTGTAAACCCCGATCCTTTGGGTGAATTTGGCCCGGGATCGGTCTTCTACGATCATACCATATGTCCATAGTTAATGAGTGGCGCCAAGACTACCTGATTAGGGCTAGTGGTACTCCACATTATAGACTTTTCTTTCAAAGTGGGTCCTATTCACCGCCCAATTCATTCTAAATTCTGCCAGACTTGAATGATTATGTAATAATACAAAATGACACATTGCATGGATAACCAGACACCGTTTGCTCTCCGAGGTCTCAACGAGGTCTGACTGTTATCAAGATACTAGGTTTAACTCGGTAGTCTATTAAATATGCTTGACCTTATCGTCAATGCTGAGCATAAATGAGGCATAAATATGGCAGGATCAAAACCTAAATACGCTGCAAGCCTGCAAGTACGAAGTACGTAAGTGCGTAATCCCGGGCTTACCTCCTACACCTGTCAAGCAAAGTCATATTTGTTTCCTTCAGCATGTCATCTTGACTTTCTATCAATTTCGTAATTTTAAATAGAAAGGAATCTAGCTACAAAAAGTGTTTTTATACACTCGTGGACTATAATTTATGATGAACACTTTCCTAGCACTCCACTCATCCACCGGCATGCTGCCTCACGAAGCAGGCGGGCTAAACCCCGTCACCAAAGCACCAACTGCACTCCGCAGTAAGAACAGACGCAAACCGGGCGGCCATCCCGGCAGGCGGGAAACCGCATTCAGAATATCCTGCATCCATTTCACAGGTCGGAGTGGAGGGACGGGCAGCTGACAGGCCTTTAGCTAGATCATTCATTAGAAGGAGTTGCTTCCTATAGGCGCACAACTTTGTACATAATACCATAGCTTAGCACGTCCCCATACCCCATGGGAGGTCATGGAGATACGGGCTTCGCCCATATCTCGATGGACGTTAAATAATACAACAATAACAACAACAACTCCACCCATCCATGTGGACCTACAATATCAACATCTTTTAAGTTTAGGGCAAAGTCAAACTTGTAGTCAATTAGTCGGACCCTTTTATATTTGAACTTGATCTTCATCACTTACCTGAGGACGCCCCCGCCCTCAAAACCTAACTATGCTCACGGTAAGCACCAGCGTCTTGTACCGTATAAACCAAATCAACTAATGCAAATTACACTCCATAGAATCCCACCGCAGAATCTCTGAACACGAACTGTAGAGACTCGGCTAACAGGCTCTCACGGGACTAGTAGCTAAAAATGTGGCGGGCAACTCGTTAGGCCAACCATTCCAGCCCGTCCCTAAGCGGGTTGATATTCATCAACACGCCATCGGTAATGAAGATGACTTATTCTCGCTCGATTACATGAATTACGGGTGCGGGGTTATATTAAAGGGAGCAGAACATAAGAAAATTCGAGAATTCAATGAGAAATGACAATGAAGCATGGAGGTAAGGATATGTCAAAGCGAAGTGAGCTGTAACGGGACAAAGCTCTGGGGAAGATAATGATGATGTGTCGAATTTCGTACAGCGTAATTTACCACTAGACCATAACAAAAACCAAGGTTCTTGTTTAGGGCCTAGAGGGGCCATATCCCATTCTTGACATGATGTATTGTATCTCTGGCTAAAGGGGCCCGAGGTCACCTGATGCAGCGGGCCTCGATTCTGGTTTCTAGATGTACTCTTCTCGGGCTGCGACCGCTTTCTTGTGCATCCGCAAGATCTCACGGGCGTACGGTGTATCCAGGTGGCTCTTGAGCTTTCTGATGGTTGCCGCAGCCTTTAAGCGAGTTGATCTCGTCGCACTCCGTGGAGATGTCCGGTTCGTAACTACAGAATGGTCGCGAATGTTCCTCGTTGGGGGCATCCATTTCTTGATCGGAGTGCTGGCTGGGACTGTAGTAGTGCGGAGCGGACGGTTGAAATGAAAGAGAGCAGAGAAGAGGAAGGGGAAAAAGAAAAGAAATGGACATCCGATTGTCTGCTTTCTCAGACCTGTGTTTGCTTCTATTTTGTTTGCTATTACCCTACTTGCCTATAAGTTATGCCTATAAGCCCCCACAGCTCATCTTCTTCATTGAGTGATGATATACCTTCTTCTTCTTCATCCTGGCAACACCTGAGAAGCTCGACCTATTTATATTTCATGATAGCTTTTCTGTCTCGCTCCCTCTTACCTCATCATCTCGTGACTCAAGATGCCAGAGATTGCTAATGGTGGTGAATAGCCATGTCATGGTGTCCCTTTCCCGATCCCAGGGAATATGGGAATGAGAGACGAAGGATGATGCTATGACCCCTGATGAAGTGGGATGACGCATAGGTAAGAAAGTATCTCTCGCTCAGATGGAGACTCCCTTCGCTTTCTCTCACTTCCAGATCAGTTATCTATGATCATCATATCTCATTGAAGTACTCATTATGAACAGGACTAACTTTAACAAGGCATCGGCACACGCCAAATACAGAGCTGTAGTTGCGAAGATCTCTAGCTCTTTAAGGTATATATATCATTTATGACCACCCGCGGTCATCTTCCAACTGCCAGTGGCGAAAGCGTGCCGCAGTCCGATACCATGGAGCTTCAATGATAGCGATAATACGCTCGAAGTCGTCAATGACCCGGATCGCTACCTATACCACCGAGTGCAAGGTCTCTTCAGCTGATTGAGATTGAGAGAAATTTCCCGAGTGATCAAAGATTATACGGAAGTAACAATGGAGACCATCAGAACCAATTGACACGCATCCCCTTCCTCCATCTCCTTGTTCCTGGGTTGTTTCTCAACAACAATCATGTCTTCTCATCTGTGCGGCTTCAGAGCACCCACGATACCGAATTGTCCATAGGTGCTCGTTTAGCCAGAGCTACAGAAGAAATGTTGGCAGTCACAGAGGCTCAAAGAAAGAAGATGAAGGCCTTTTGCAAATGCACTCGGATACAGCACAGAAAGCCATTTACCGTTCTTGTCGCAGTCACCATCACACAATACCAAGCGACCCGAACGACTATATGCATAGTGTTCAGCAGTGAAAAGATTCCTCTCACAGCACCGCTCCAATCTCTATACCACGGAACCCCGAATTTCATGAGAAGTTCCGCATCTCAACATTAGCCGAATTGCTTGAGGTAGGGAATATATGGTTCTTGATTGGTGGCAAGTCGCCCTCGAATGTCACAAAAGGCCTCCAAGATTTCTCTGTCTTGAGGATTTCATGGGAGTACATAAATGCTGTCGAAATAATATCCCCACTATACTGTTGGTGTGTACGTGGTTCCGCGCTCGCCATGACCGCGCCCGTGCTATAGAGCTGGATGAATTTGCAGCGGAGTTGAGGGAGATTTACCTCGAATCGTCGCACCATACTCGGTGGGGTTTGCTGATATGGCTGAGTGAGAACCCCATCCAGCCCGAGGATCTTGTGGAGGATCTTGTGTGAGAAAGAGATGAGTGCACCCCTTTGTTCTTCCAAGATTGGCTGAGCAGACACGGAAAAGTGCCTGGTTCCGTAAGCTAGCCTCCACCTTCAAAATGTTGTCTCTTCCTATGAGAAACTAACCCACTGCCTAGACCACAACAGGGAACATAGCTTGCCTCCAAGAATCAGAGGATTACTCTCGCTGTTATTGGCGGCATCATTAATACAATATTACTTCAGAGTCGCCCCAGTACCCACGATGTCGACTTTTTTAACGACAATCTTATAGCTACTGAGGTCAAGTGCCTCTCGAAGGCAGCTAAGTCAGTATCTATTATTCCATTCTAAAATCCTAATACTAAGCTAGATAGGCTAACCATTATCTAAGCTACATCGAAGCCGCAGCGCTCGTACCTTACGGGGCCTTACGGCTCGTCCAAACCCAACCTCGAGCGGCCCCCCAAATCTCTCTCGCGAGAGTCTCATTAATACACTACAAAATGTTGCAACCTCTTGCTGTATCAGCTATTTCCCTCTCACGGTCCTACGCCAAGATGCAGCCAATCAAAATCCTGTCCCCCACCAGAAGAAAAAGCGGGAGGACAGGCACAGTGGCCAAGCGGAACATTCGATGTTGGAATGTGTTGGGTACACGATTAGAAAAGAACCCAGTGTGTCACAAGCTTAGCTTAGTCATAGCTTCATAGCTTCTAACTAGTACCCCCATCAAGGAGGTCATAATACATCATCTATCTTCCCCCCACTAAGCTTACTGCTACACAGTGGGGACAGATCCTGAGGGGAGAGATCGTTATCCTAATTTTACAAATATCATCACTCTCTCGTGGATTCCTTTCCCATTGTAGTAGCTCATCTCAATTTTTGAAGGAAAAGGAATCCCTAGCAGCTCGATAACTCCAGAGGAACATCAGTCAACTCTGCAGGATGGATCTCCTCACGAGAGGCGTGGGGCAGATTTCGGTCTGTCAAATCCCACACAGTAGCTTAGTAGATAGCTTGTCCCCTCTCTCTTCCTTTCCTCCTGGCCCCCAGAACGAGCAGGCAAAGCCGAGAGCGAGCATTGGTGTACCTCTTCTTTCTTGGGCAACACCCCTCATCGTCTGTCTGATTATGGGATGACAACGCATTTTTGATTCCGATTTCGTTCAGCAATGCGAGAAAGCCCCGTGAGTGGAAGGGTCCCGACTATGTCTTCTCATGCTCACCCCAGTACCCTGGGGGTACAGTTAATGGGGGTATAGATGTTCTGCCGGAGGAATATTGGGGCGATGTAGCGTGACGGGGAGGAAGGAAGAAGTCGCATTTGTCTTGTGTTCTGCGAGAAGTTACTAGCAACAGAAGATTGTATTGAGATAATTTTCCTATCACCTAGTAGAGAACCGGTATGCTCAATATGAGAAGTTCATTGTAATCTCATCTCAGTGTCATCTCCGGTCCTCTGGAGACCTCCACATCGTTCGGCAGACGGGTTTGACTCCGAGAGCAGGGTGGAAGTTCCGTTCTGTCGAGATCATGTTTACCAGATAGTCAGTAGATGTAGTTCATTTAGAGAAACAGGGTATTCATCCCAGGAGTGAAACGGAACGGAGAGGAGAAGAGGGAGGGAACAGAGAGCTATTGTATCTCGATCCCAAGACAAAGCTATCGTTCCCCCACTCCCAGTTCTGAGATGAGAGTAAGTTATGACCTAGACCGAGCTGATAGTATTCTTGACCAGTGTTAATCATCAATGTAAACAATGGACCCACTTGACAAACATAGAACCCAAACAGTCTTCTCCAAGCGCCCAGACAAGCCGAACAGTTGATGAAAAGGAGTAGGAGTTCGCATCGATCGGGGGTAGTGTAAGCCCAATGACACAGTGCAACGAGGCATGCGCAAGCACAGAGGCCAAGTCGCGAGGTCCAAAGATTAGAATAATCATGAATGACCCGCAATGCAGGACTATCAGAGATTAAGCTGACAAGAACAGATACTACACAAGATCTAAGCCAGAAGGCAAAGAGGAGCTGAGGAAGGAAGAAAAGAAGAGGAAGGTCTGGGGGCAGGGCTGCCTTCTTATAGGTATCCTAAGGGCGGTCGGTTTATGCCACTATTCATAAATGAGACAAACAACGACGTGGGCTCGCTTAATTGAATGGTAACGTGATGATGAGGACAGGAACGGCATCTCGTATTTCCGGCCGACTTGTTTGAGAATTGGCATTCGTTTTAGTGTGAGGCATACTGTTTGTTTGATATCAGCTAGAGGGCTATCGGCACAATCCTCGCTCGAGCCTACATGTGTATACAGCTTCCTAGGATCTAGGACATTATGAGCTCAAGGAGCTGAATAACAAGCAAGGCTGGCAAGCTGAGTATATAAATTTACCATCAACTATCACCATTTTTAACCTAGAAGCACACCTCACTACAAGACCCAATCCTACAATTTCTTTCAAGAACAAACCAAGACCAAGGGCATAAGAGTCCATCAAAC